GAACATAAATCTTATTTGCTTTCAAATTATTTGGTCAATTACGAAAACTGTATTTTTTTCCTTATTATTATTCCAAATAATGCACATTAAGACAGATCGGCATGCGGTGGACTCATAAAACAATTTTAAAGTTGAACAACCCACTGCAAAGGAGACTGCGACAACGACGAAGAACAAGGTGTCAATGGCCCAACATTACATGTAATTTACACCTTCGTACTGGGGAGCCTTGAAATTCCTTGAATTCGATTTTTGTTTTCAGACAGGCCCCCCCTCCCCTAAAAACGGTATTAAGAGAGAATTCCCAAGCAAATTATGTCCAGATATATTGAATGATAGGACATTAAGAACAACACCGAAATGACAATTTTTTTGTTTTCATACAATTAGAAATTATTGAAAACGACAACAACAACATCAACGGCAAAACAAAATCAGATTACGAGATTGACGAGCTCACGTTTATTCACTCGATCTGTACGTGTTCAGCGAATCAGTGAAACACCGCACAAAGGCAGGAGACTCACAAAGAAGATGGGAGGTTTAGTGGGAGTAGATATGTATGTATGTACATTTGTTGGTTTGGTTTATATCTTCCATGTTATTGCAGCCAACCAGGCAATAAGCGAGCCAACAATTGATCGATTCGTTGTTGTTTTTGTTGTTGGCGGGTACGCGTTGCGCATGCACAAATAGGCCTAACTGATTATTGTGTAAAAACGTAATATATTTATGAATCGAGCGAATCTGTTAAGCTATAATTTATGTCCACCCAGCGAGTCATTTAGTTGCGAGAGACACATACATATGCACAAAGAGTCAATGGATAGACACAAAGAGTTTTACGGTCAGAGATGGAAAATGTAATAAGTGGGTACATTTACAAAATGGGGGTACGTTTTTGTAATCAGGAAGAGAGAGGGACACACATCTTCTTAAATACCAAATTTGAAACAATTGAATGGAACTACAATGTTTCGCCACCGGGGCTAGAATCCATTATAACCTATAAATGCCAATTTTTAGACAAATTCGTGAAAAATGTGGTGAAAATCATCAGGATACCGAATATCGGGAGGTACCGTTATATGGGGCCTATGCAATAACGGGAACCTATATATACAATGTTTCGCTACCGGAGCTATAATCTATTATGACCTACAAATACCAATTTTTGGAGAAATCCGTGAAAAAATGTGCCAAAAATGATCAAAATATCGAATATTGAGAGGAATGGCGGCTACACCAAAATTTCTTCTGCCAAATGTTGAAGCTCAATAAATATACTTTATGTCTACGATGAATATTTAGGGATGTTACAAATGGAATAACAAAGTTAATATACTTCATTTTCAAGGTGGAGGGTAGAAAAGTCAGCGATGGTCTCATGAGAATATCCTGAAATATTTGTATATAAAAACCAGTAAAGAAAGTCTTAAAGTCGGGCGGGGCCGACTTTATGATACCCTACACCACTTTGCTAATTTAGTAGAGCTTCGCATAACAATTAAAAGTTTTTTATGGGAGAATTCAATCATACACGCTATGATTATAATTATAATTTAAAATTCAAAGGACTAAATATGCCGAAGCATTTGTATCTATTAAATTCGGAATGGTATTACCCATATGGTGCACAATTAATTTGAAATCGGATAAAAATATATATGGGAGCTATATCCCAATCTGAACCGATCTTGATAAAATTTGGCAAAGATATTTCTGAGCTCTATTTGATATATTTCCCTGAATATCGTTGTTACGGAGTGCATAATACGGCTGTGGGTAACAAATCTGACAAATCGGATGAACAGTATAAATGGGAGCTTTAGCTATATCTGAACCGATCTTCACCAAATTTGACATACTAGCTTCTAGACTCAATTCGGTCTTAAGAGCCAAATTTCATCCAATTTGGACAAATATTAGACGTTTGGTGCACAATCAAAGATAATCGGACGAAGTTATATATGAAAGCTATATCCAAATCTGAACCGATCTCGATAAAATTTAGCAAAGGTATTTCTGAGCTATATTTGACATATTTCCCCAAATATTGTTGTTACAGAGTGCATATTACGGCTGCGGAGGACAAAAATAACAAATCGGATGAACAATATATATGGGAGCTATAGCTATATCTGAACCGATTTCGATAAAATTTGGCATACTTATTTTCAGATCCAATTTGATTGTACGTGCAAAATTCCATACTATTCGGACTGATATTACACGTTTGGTGCACAATAAAAGGCAAATCGGACGAAGATATATATGGGAGCTATATCTAAATTTTAACCGATTATCTCTAATTTCAATAGGGTTCGTCCTTGGGCCAAACAAATGATTCGTGCAAAATTTCATCTGGATAGGGCAATAAATGCGAACTGTTTTTTGTTCACAAAAATACATGGACGGACGGACGGACGGACATGCATAAATCGACTCAAAATGTGCTTCTATGCAGATCATCAGAAGGAACTATGGGTCTATCTCGTTTCCTTTTGCCTGTTACAAACAAATGCACAAAGACATAATACCCTGACCACCTTGTGGTGTAGGGTATAAAATAACTAGCAAGTGCTAGCTACTATCAGATTAGTTCTAACAGTTCATGTCAGGTCTTTTTAGTACCCAAACTGCACAATTTGTTCAGTTCGATACAATTTTAAATCCAAATTTCATACGTCGTACTAAATTTTCACACTTTCAAGTTTTTATATATTATTCAAGTTTTTCCTTTTTCGGAAATAACAATAGGAAAATGTTTACATTTTACACCGAAAAGTCTTCAAACTTTTTTATTTTGAAATTTACGGAGGAGGATATTTGTAAAATCATTGCACAATGGGCCCATATCCAATTTTTCTATCCAAAACTATATCAACGTCTCATTACTTAAACCCTAGAAACCAAAAGTGATCTCAATGTCAAATTTTACAATATCAGCTCTATTCCTTCATCCAATAACCAATTTAGTACTACTTAGTACTTTTCGAACAATCTTAGAACACATCTACAATACGACCTTCATATCTTAATCACAAACACCAAAGGTGACATCTATATCAAATTTCAGGATTTCAACTCTATTCCTTCACCCAATACCGAATGAAGTACTATTTAGTGCTTATCGTACAAACATAGTACACATTTCCAAGTCCATCCCCATATCTCAATCTTAAATATCAACAGACACCTCAAAATCAAATTTCGGGATTCCAGTTCTATCCCATCACCCAACATAAAATATAGTACTTTTCGTACACACTTCCAACCACCTCCATATTTTAACTACAAACACCAAAAGTGCATATCTATATCGAATTTCAGGATTTCAGCTGTATTCCTTCACCCAAACCAAATTTAGTAATATTTAGTACAATTATAACACACACTTCCACAACCACCTCAATATTTCCAGATACCAACGAGAGATCAATAGCAAATTTGAGGATGTCAGTCCTCTTCCTTCATCAAATACCAAATAAAGTATCATATGGTACTTTTCATACAAATATAGGGCGCATTTCCAAACCACCGGCGAATATCAAACACCGATATCATCAATAATCAAAATATCAAATTTCAGAATTTTATTTCTACCCCTATACTCAATGCCAAATCTGGTACCATTCAGCACTTTAAGTACAATTACAGTATGTACACCTTTCAGAAACCGCCTTCATATATCCAGGCTACACATGAACAGCGACCCTTGTACTAAGTTTCAGATTTTAAACACTATCTTTTCACCCAATATCAAATATAGTATTTTTCGTGCACTTATAAAATACATTTCCAAAACCACCACAGAAACCAACCAACAACGGGGACGCCAATACAAAATTTTAAAATTCCAGCTTCTTCAGTTCAACCTAGTCTATAGTGTACCAAAAAGTCGACAATGGTCATTGAAAAAAATCTTAAAAACAAAAATTTTTTATGGCGTAATGGTCCACTAATTTTTTTTTTTTTTTTGTTTTAATAAATCTACTATTAAAGGTACGATAATATTTAAAACAAAAAAAAAAAAATAAAAAATAACCATAATAGCTAAAATAATCCATGATTAAAGCTTAGATGACCCTTAGATGAGTTTTTTTAAAAAAAAGTCCACTGTTAAAAAATATTAAAAAAAAATATTTTAAAAAAGTCCACGATAAAATATTTTAAAATATCCTAGAGGATATACGATATTGTTTATCTACATAAATAAATCTATTTCGGGGGTAAAGTACTCACAAAGAACTCTTTGTGCAGAATTTCAGACAATTCCGTTGAAGAATGTGGCTAAAATCATCAAAATTCTCTTCCAGGAGGTAAAGTAGTCACAAGACACTCCTTTTGTAGATTTTCAGACAATTCCATTAAAAAATGTGGCTAAAATCATTAAAATACCGAATATCGGGGGGTACCGTTATATGGGGGCTATAAGATATCATGGACCGATGTAGTCCATCTTCGAATTAAATTAATTGAATTAAAATTATTAAATCCTTGCTTGTTTGCAGCTTTGACTCTATTGTCGAAAAAAAAAATTTTTCACAAAAATGTAAACATTTTCAATTGTTTTAAAAAAATTACGTTCGTAACGCTAATGAAGGATCCTCCCTCTCTATTGTGGACCTTTAGGAGATATCTTACAACTTTGGTACTTTCTAGAATATTACAACTATCAATTGTAGTAAATCTCCCATCCCAGCTAGTAATTAGCTTGCGTACTGCTATTTACATTATTGTCCACTTGAATGATGAAAGAGAGGAGAAAAAGAATAATGATCATGTTGTTGTCGTTGATGTTCGACTTACAAGCCAAGAAAACAAAACAAAAAAAAGCTATAACATCGCAACGATGACGTTTCAGCCATTGTGGCGCTGATGTCTACAAAATAAAAATTCTGATGTTTAAGGCCGGCTACGCTTGAGCGAATTGTGAATTATTGTCGCAACCAACATTCACGCACCGGGTCTCATACAAACACACACTCACACCCGCACTAAGAAGACGCAGAAAAGAATACGGCCAAAATAAAATTTATAAAATAGTCTGAACTTCAAAGCAAACGGAATATTCTTTTATCGCCCACGCCAGAGTGTACGCGTTACGGAACTTGACAAAGATAAACGACAGAATAAAATTAAAATAAAAAAAATGAAGAATTTTAATTTAAGTTTCATTATCCTTGCCATGGCCGTGCTGATCAGCGTTGATGCCCAGGATAAATGGTCTTGGTCGAAGGCAAAAAATCAAAAAGTTGTGGGCTACTATCCATCGGCAAACAAAAAAGTCTACTACACCGAAAATGACTCAGAGGACTATGCTCGGCGGGATCGCGAACCAACAACAAGGAAACCACTACCGGGAGAGTTGCCCAATGATGATATCGATGATTATGCTGATGACAGTGAAACACCACCAACCAAACAAAATAATCCCTATCCTACGGGAGGGGGTGGTGCATTTCAACCGGGTTTTGGAATACAACCAGGATTTGGTGCACAACCACCATTAGGCGGCGGAGGTGGTTTCAATAGATTTCCACAATTCGGAGGATCTGGTACGTTTCCGGGTATCTTAGTTGGGCCTGGTGGTCCAACGGGGGTTATTGGTCGTCCTCAGGCGCAATTCCCACCACAATTTCCCCAACAGCCAGGCTATGGAGCCTTTCCCGGATATAACACACAAAACTTTGTGGGCGCCGGAAATACCAACTATAGCCCCCAATATCAACCAGGATATCCCACGAATCCCCATCAACAACAATTTGGCGCCGGTGCAACACCACCACAATATCCCAATGTCCCATATCCACAATACACCGAAGGTTATGGTCTTTTGCCGTTTAATCAAGCTCCCGTCAATGGATTCGTACCGAATCAACAAAATTTCAATGGCGGTGCTGGAGGTTTTCCTAATTATCCCCCAAACAACTATCCCAATTTCGATGAATATCCTCGGAAAAGTGCCAATGTCAAGGCCAGTGGTGGTAATGGGGAAAAGAAAATCGACGACAAAGTTAGCAAAAATCTTAAAAGTCTATAAAAAATCCATGCCACTCCCATCATCGCACCAACATCTTGATATCATTCCCATATTTATTTTTTGTAAGTTTATTTGTAAGTGATTTTGTTTTCGTAAAGAAGAACAAAGAAAGGAAATTTAAATCATTATTTATATTTGTTATTTTTTGTTATACTGACTGTCCACTCACCTATTGTTGTAATAACAATAATCGAATAAAACAATGATCCAGCAAATGTCCATTGTGTTGTGTTGATATTGTCATCACCGTCCCATCCTTCACTTTTCATCGCTGTCAATATTTGCTTTTCAAAAATCATCAGTTTACTTTCAATCGAGGTCTTCCATTCGGTTTCCTGGAGAAATGTTTGATTCTCGGAGTGTGTCCAAATAATTTCGGTTAAATTGTTGCGCATTTTATGAATGCCTGTTTTGACCTGGAAATTAAAAGGGGACACGTTAAGTAAAGGCAGATAAAAAAATATTTTATAATATTTTGTTGTTGTTGCAAATAGTCAGGCTTAATCCCATTATTCGTGTTTTTATTAAAACAACGTTTGTTTATTAGTGGAGGAAGATGGTAATGTTTACCAGCGGGTAAAAATATTTTTTTAATTCCCGGACCTATAAGTTTCCTAAAATAATATTTTATATACAATATACGAGCCTGTAAAAAGTAGTTTTTAAGAAAATTAAAAATCCACGAGCTTTCGAAAAATTTAAAAAAGATTGAAAAATCAACGGGCCTTAAAAAATAATAAAAATGTAAAATTGAAAATCCACGAGAATTAAAAAAATTAAAATGATCGAAAAATCAACGCCTCAATCAAAGGCCTTAATAAATAATTAAAAAGTAAAATAAAAACCTATGAGCCTTTAAAAATAACTTTAAAATAATTTAAAAATCAACGGGAACTAAAATATATATTAAATAAAAAAACAAAATAAAAATTCACCACCCTTTAAAAATAAAATAAAAACCAACGAGCCTTTAAAGAGTAATTTTAAAATAATTTAGATATCCACGAACCTTTAAAGAATAATTTTAAAATAATTTAGAAATCCACGAACCTTTAAAGAGTAATTTTAAAATAATTTAGAAATGCACGAACCTTTAAAGAGTAATTTTAAAATAATTTAGAAATCCACGAACCTTTAAAGAGTTATTTTAAAATAATTTAGAAATCCACGAACCTTTAAAGAGTAATTTTAAAATAATTTAGAAATCCACGAACCTTTAAAGAGTAATTTTAAAATAATTTAGAAATCCACGAACCTTTAAAGAGTAATTTTAAAATAATTTAGAAATCCACGAACCTTTAAAGAGTAATTTTAAAATAATTTAGAAATCCACGAACCTTTAAAGAGTAATTTTAAAATAATTTAGAAATCCACGAACCTTTAAAGAATAATTTTAAAATAATTTAGAAATCCACGAACATTTAAAGAATAGTTTTAAAATAATTTAGAAATCCACGAACCTTTAAAGAATAATTTAGAAATCCACGAACGTTTAAAGAATAATTTTAAAATAATTTAAAAATCCCCGAGCCTTTAAAGAATAATATTAAAATAATTTAGAAATCCACGAACGTTTAAAGAATAATTTTAAAATAATTTAGAAATCCACGGGCCTTTAAAGAATAATTTTAAAATAATTTAAAAATCTACGAGCCTTTAAAAAATGAATTAACCATAATTTAAAAATCCAATAGCCTTTAAAAAATAATTTAAAATTTTTTTTTAAAATCGACGAGGCTTTAAGAAGTGGTTTTAACTTAATAAAAAATCCACGAGCCTTTAACAAGTAATCTTTATATATTTCAAAAATCCACTAGCCATTGAAAATGAATTAAAAATCCAGAACCCTCAAAAGAATTAAAAGATTAATTTTAAAATAATTTAAAAATCCACAAGCCTTTGAAGAATTAAAAAAAAATAATTTTAAAATCCACAAGCATTCAAAAATAATTTAAAATGCACAAAAAATTTGGAGTGAGAGTCACTGATGGAGTAAAGGATAGATGTATGAAAGTTTTTGCAAAATCGCACATTAAGGTTACGAAAACTACTAAATAATACTAAACGTCTAAAACGGTACCATTTGGTATTATATGAACGGATAGATCTAAAAACTATGGAAATGGAATTTGGAAATGTGTACTAAGTATGCGAAATGGTACTAAATTTGGAACAGTTTGTTTCAGGTTCAACGGATGAAGGTGGAATTTTGACATTTTATATTGGGGTCCCTGTTGGTATTAGGTTTGTGATGATAATAATGGTTTTGGAATTGTATACTGCAAATGCACGAAAAGTACTAAATAGTACTACATATATTTGGTACAATAGTGCTCAATATCTGAAATTTGGTCTCAGGGTCATAGTTCATGTGTAGTCTGGTCATATACTCGTATTGGTGGTTTCGGAAATGTGTACTATAACTGTACGAAAAGTACTGAATGATACCATATTTGGTATGAATGGATAGAGATAAAATTCTGAAATTTGATATTTAGATTACTTATGGTATCTGTGTTTGATGTTTGGCGGCAGTGGTTTGGAAATGTGTCCTTTATTTTTACGAAAAGTACTAAATGGTACTAAATTTGGTATTGAGTAAAGGAATAGGGTTAAAATCCTCATGTTTGATATTGAGTACTACGATTGTTTGAAAAGTGCTAAATGCTACTAAATTTAGTATTGGATGAAGGGGTAGGACTGTGCTGGTATGGTTGAAAAAATACAGCTAAAAACCTAAAATGATGGAATACAGCTGAAATCCTGAAATTTGATTTAGATGTCTGTGTTTGGAGGTGGTCTAGAAATGTGTGCTATAATTGTTCGGATATACGTACTAAATGCTACCAAAATTGTTATTTGATGAAGGGATAGAACCTAATTTCTAAAATTAGATATTGAGGTTATGCTATGTTTACGTTAGAACTTTTTGCAGGGTTAACCAACTTCAAGAGGATTTATTTGAAGTATAAGTAATGGATATGACAATTTTAATCCAAATCCAGTGGGTTAACCCATTTATATGTAAACGTACTGTTACTTTTGGTTTCCAGGGGTTACGTATGCAGACGTTGGAATAGTTTTGAAAAGAAAAATTGGATGTGGTTCCTTTATACAATGTTTTACTAATAAATCATTTGCATTTGTGCCATTTATTACAAATTATTAGGCTACGATAAACGCCTATTATCTCCTTCCGGTGAAAATGATCGTATGCTTACTATATTCGAAGAATCTGAAATAACTCATACGTCATATGAAAAATATTAGTTATACGAACAAATTATATTTTAAAATACTAGTTCCATATGTATGAAAATAAATATGAAATAATTCCAAATTAATACGAAGACCTGACCCTTTATAACTTATATTTATGACACAAGCAAACAAATTAAAATTATTTTATTTCAATTTAATTCCAAAAATATTAGAAAAGCATTTAATTTCTAAATCTGATATGATTTGTCATGACAATTTTATAATTCCATTATTCGATAAAAATCTTCTAATAAATAATACAAATTCGGCGCCAAAATAGATGACGGTTTGCGGAATTTTCATTCTATTCCTTTGATATCAAAAAACACACAAATCATATTGACCAGATGTGATTCAGAAAATTAAAAAAAAACTCAAAGATACACACACATAGCGAACAAAAGAATTGATAAATAGAAATAAAAAAAAAACAGATAACATCAACATCTTACCTCAGCTTCGTGTTCGCCTTCCAAGTGTTGAAACAAATAGGCACCACCGACACAATAGCAGACCACCATCAAAATCAGTGTCACGTGCGACACAATACAAGTGATGACTTTCCACGAAAAACAGATGGCAGTGACACATCGTCCACGTTCCGGTTTGGCGGGCTCAAGCATATGCGGTGGCATTGAATGAGCACGGCGGCTCGACATTATGTCCGGTTAGCTAATACTGCCACAGTTGAGTTTGGTAATATATTTGTTTGACAAATTATGTCGATCTGCAGATTGATGGATTGATATTTTTGCCGTATTACGATTTGGCTGTTTGAAATTTGTGACGTATGGCACCGTCTTGCTGAAAGAAAGAAATATTGATTTTCCATCAGCGCGGGAAAACGTTAAATCAATCCCAAATGTAAATGTGGGCGCTTTGAATGTTCAATTAATTAAAAATCAATTAATTATTATTTTTTCACCGAATACATTATTAATTTTCTTGATGTCGTATACAGTATATTCTGATAGTAAAGAAGAAACAAATTTAATTGTATGTGATTCAACACAATATGTATTTCAGTTGTAACTTGGGAAAAGTATCAAAAAAAAGAAATATTGTAAATCAAATTTTATTAGGAGTCTTTGAAGAAAAAACCAGTAAAGAAAGTCTTAAAGTCGGGCGGGGCCGACTTTATGATACCCTACACCACTTTGCTAATTAAGTAGAGTCCCACATAACAATTAAAAGTTTTTATGGGATAATTCAATCATACACGCTATGATTATAATTATAATTTAAAGTTCAAAGGACTAAATATGCCGAAGCATTTGTATCTTTTAAATTCGTAATTGCCCATTTGGTGCACAATTAATTTGAAATCGGATAAAGATATATATGGGAGCTATATCCAAATCTGAACCGATCTCGATAAAATTTGGCGAAGATATTTCTGAGCTGTATTTGATATATTTCCCTGAATATCGTTGTTACGGAGTGCATGTTACGGTTGTGGGTAACAAATATAACAAATCGGATGAATAATATATATGGAAGCTATAGCTATATCTGAACCGATCTTCACCAAATTTGACATACTACCTTCTAGACTCAATTCGGTCGTAAGTGCCAAATTCCATCCCATTTGGACAAATATTAGACGTTTGGTGCACAATAAAACGTAAATCGGACAAAGTTATATATGGGAGCTATATCCAAATCTCAACCGATCTCGATAAAATTTAGCAAATGTATTTCTGAGCTGTATTTGATATGTTTCCCCAAATATTGTTGTTGCAAAGTGCATATTACGGCGGCGGTGGACAAAAATAACAAATCGGATGAACAATATATATGAGAGCTATAGCTATATCTGAACCGATTTCGATCAAATTCGGCATACATATTTTCAGGCCTAATTTGGGTGTATATGCAAAATTCCATACAATTCGGACTGATATTACACGTTTGGTGCACAATAAAAGGCAAATCGGACGAACATATATATGGGAGCTATATCTAAATTTTGACCGATTATCTCCAATTTCAATAGAGTTCGTCCTTGGGCCAAACAAATGATCTGTGCAAAATTTCATCTGGATCGGGCAATAAATGCGACCTGTACCTTGTTTACAAAAATACATGGACAGACGGACGGACGGACGGACAGACGGACGGACGGACGGACAGACGGACGGACGGACATGCATAAATCGACTCAGAATGTGATTCCATGCAGATCATCAAAAGGAACTATGGGTCTATCTCGTTTCCTTTTGCCTGTTACAAACAAATGCACAAAGACATAACACCCTGACCACCTTGTGGTGTAGGGTATAAAAAATATACCTAACTGGCAAGTGACCTCTACTTCATCGGCAAAAAGTCCACTAAAAATATTAAAATTTGTTCCAAAAGTTCGTGTTAGCCCTTTTTGGAACTTAAAACTTCAGTTCGACAAAATATTTATACCCTCCACCATAGTCTGAAGGGTATGTTAAGTTTGTCATTCCGTTTGTAACACCTCGAAATATACATTTTAGACCCCACAAAGTATATATATTCTTGATCAGCATAAAATTCTATGTCGATTTAGCGATGTCCGTAAAGTAAGTAAGTAAATTGATACAATTTTACTCAAATGTATATTATGTCTGCAGGACTTTTGGTATTGAAAATGGGCCATACAGGTCCACGTTTTGGTATAGCCCCCATGTAATTGTACCTCACTATTATTGGTATTTTGGTGATATAAGCGACATTATTCACCTGAAATGTTTCAAATCTCGCATTTGAAGTTCGTAACGAATACTACAGCCTATGACAGAAAATTTTCCGTGCAGGTCCACATCTTCGTATAGCCCCAATATAACTGTACCTCCCGATATTCTGTATTTTGATGATTTTAGCGACATTATTCACCGGAATTGCTCCAAATTTGGTATTTGAAGTTCGTAATGAATACTACAGTCTAAGACAGAAAATTGTCTGTGCAGGTCCACGTTTTGGTACAGCCCCCATATTATGGTACTTCCCTATATTCGGTATTTTGATGATTTTAGCTACATTATTCATAGATTTTTTCAAGATTCGGATTTGCATAACGGATTTTTTGTAAATTGCCAAATTCGTTCCATACCGTGAAGGGTATTCAATGTTCGGACGAACTTACAGCCTTTTTACTTGTTTTGTAATTACGATTACTTACTTAAATTAAACAGACATTATAGATTATTTACCTCGTATATTTTCAATAACCCGCAATCTTTTTATATCACATTGGTTATCGCGCTACCTCTGTATTTTTGTTTATCTATCAAAATATTTACTTATAATATTTATTAGATTTACTGCCGAGTTTTTCCTCCAAACTCAAAAGTGATGATTAATTAACAATAATTCATACTGAATTTCCCTGTAGGATTTGCAAACTCTCAGCAACTCTTTAGTCAGTTTTACTCTCTTCTCTTTCTTCCACTAACAGGACTTTTAGATCATCGCACAACAAACCATAGAGAGTTTTTCTAATTCAATCTCACAATTTTAACTATTCGCATTTCTTTCATATGGCATTTCTTATTAAACTACCTGTGTATGTTTGTTTATTAGTCAAAATATTTTCTTATAATATTTCATTGATTTATTAATGAGTTTTCCCTACCAAACAAAAAACAACTCAAAAGTGATGATTAATTAATAGTTGACTGAAATTTCAGAAGCAGCTCGTGTCCAATGTAATTGTTTTTGCAAATGGAAATTGTGCAAGTTTTTCTTTTCTCTCTCTCACAAAACTTACTACATATATACTTTTAAGAGTTTCCCAATGATGAAAATGTAGCCAAGTGAGGCTATTTTCCAATTGTTTGTTTACATCTGATACAACAACACAAACAAACATTTTGGGAGCCACAATTGCCATCGTCATAGTTAGTTGGCGTGTGCTAGTTTGAGGTGAAAATATCCCCCAAAAATAAATATTGAAGACATGAAATTGAGGGATCACAGTGGAGCAAAATGGAACAAAATTTGAAATTTGAAACACAAAGAAAACCGATGCAGCTGCAATTTTGAAATTTTGATATTTAGTATCTATTAACAAGTTAAAAAGCAGTATGTTCGGCTGGGCCGAACTTTGAATACCCTCCACCTTTTGGAACGAATTTGAAAGTTTTCAAAAAATAAAATCCGTTAAAAATTCTGTTAAAATCTTAAAAATGCCGAATATAGCCGTTATATTGGAGTCAATACCACAAGGACCTACATAGGCATTGTTTGCCATAATTCAAAATTCGAAACTTGAAATAAACGGGGATTAAAGGGAGCTATACGAAGACCTGGGCCTAAATTCTTGTTCTATAAAAATGTGAAATAACAACTTTTAAAAAGGAAAGAAATGTCAAATGAAAAATGTTAAAAAGGAAATATTTTTTATTTCATATATTCATAGAACAAGAATCCAGGCCCTGGACCTGCATGGACAATTTTCTGTCACAGAAAACATCTATGACAATTACATCTCAAACAATTACGGTGAGTATTGTACATAAAATCGTCAAAATACCGAATATAGGGAGGTACTGATATATGGGTCCTATACGAAGACCTGGACCTGCATAGACAATTTCCTGTCACAGACTATAGTTCCCATTACGAACCTTAAATACCAAATTTGAAACTACTCCGGTGAATAATGACGCTAAAATCTTCAAAAAACCGAATATTGGGATGTACCTTTATATGGGGGCTATACGAAAACGTGAACCTGCACAGACAATTTTCTGTCATAGGCTGTAGTATCCACTACGAATTTCAAATACCAAATTTGAAACAATTCCGGTAAATAATGTCGCTAAAATCATCAAAATACCGAATATCGGGAGGTACCGTTGTGTGGGGGCTATACGAACCTGCACAGACAATTTTCTGTTATAGGCTGTAGTATCCACTACGAATTTCAAATACCAAATTTAAAACAATTCCGGTGAATAATGTCGCTAAAATCATCAAAATACCGAATATCGGGAGGTACCCTTAAATGGGGCTATATGAAAACGTGGACCTACATAGCCTATTTATGAACTTAACCTGCCTAGTGGCAAAATAAACTTGTGTGAAAAATTTTAGCCTTAGGAGTCAATTTTTTCGAAAAATAGCGTGATTACAACAGACGGACTCTCAGACAAACGGACACCGCTAAATCGACTTAGAATTTTACGCTGATCATTTACGGAATGACAAAGTTAATATACCCCCATAGTATGGTGGAGGGTATAAAATAGAACGAAGTATTGTTGATATCAGGAGGTGTTTTTGGAAGTGTATGCTAAGTGTAGGAACGTTTTTCCATAAAGAATATTTGAAGTTTTAAAACATAATCTATGGGGATATATTTCCTTCAAGGTCTTTCATATAAAGAAGACCTTTATGGGCACTAAATCCAAACATTCAATGTATAAATTACCTATTGATAGACTTCAATATTAATGAGGCATATACAGGGTCTTCTATGTTCAGAAAGATCAGAAAGATAAAGAGACATATATATAAAATACCTTTTGAAGGTATACCACCATTATTTGGAAACCCTTCTGTGTTCAGAAGTCCTATTGAAGTCCCTCTATGTTGGGATTTTTTTCTTTTAGAATTTTATATGTTCAGAAGAACTATATTTTTCCACAGAAGATATCTATAGAAGACCTTTGTACCTTCAAAATATTTTTGATAAATATCTGTATTGAAAAGTTTTGTTTAAGTTGTTTTGAACACTTTTCAGGAGATGCTGCCTTTAGAATATCTTTTACTCTTTATTTCGGGTAATTGAGTAAATTTTATTAATTTTTAAATCACTTTTTTAAATCACTTTTTATTTTTTTCTCCTTTTCATCACACAGTGCACAGATTATTTTTGGGGATAAACGCAACAACATGCACATATAGGCAACACGACTGTATACACTGGCACTGGACCATCGGCCGTCGGTACAGAAGAAATAAACTAAACAAGCAAAAAAAAATTCATTTAAAACATTGAACTAATTTTATTTCATTTTTTCCTCGTTTTTTGAACATTATGATTTTTCATTTGACTTGCTTTTTTCGGGTTTCATTAACAAAAAATTTTAATAATAATTTATTTTTCCAAACACAAACAGCCGTATCTTAGATTCCAAAATTTTCATTAGCTTCTTGTGTGGGGGTCTAGCTGTTGGCTGGCTGGCTGGCATTATTTCATAATATTTTATTTTTTCAACAATTTAATTGCCACTCAAAACGTTGTGAATTGATGTCTAGGAATGCCAAAAATGATTTTTCTTCTCAATCATTACGTCTAATTGTGGTTATAATTTTTTTTAAATATCGTTATTATTTATTTTTATATTTAATTACTTTTTTTTAAATTTCTATATTTTGGAAAGCGTCGTGTTATTGGGTTTTCTTTAATTTTTCGTTATTATTTTTCCTCCTGTTCTACACAATAAACACCATGGACCATTGATGATTTGGCCGCCACATTTTGACTTCGGTCCGTCACAACGCACACTCGTGTGTGGCGCAAGAACAAAAAGAAAAGGGTTCAATGTTCTTCGATCGCCTAAAGTGCACTTTCTTTCTTTCTTCCCGACCACGTAACGACCACAACCGATCTCTTGCACAGATCCACGAGAACTAAGGAAAATGTTCTTAGCCAAACAATTTGATTGTGGAAATCTCCTTTGGCTGAGAGAGTTTTGCCGGAAAATTTGTTTTGTTGAGGAATCTACTTTGTGTATATTTTGGAAAATGAGAAATCTCTATTTTAGATTATTCTCTTTGCTACAAGAGAGAGAGAGAGTGAAAGAGAGTTGGTTCTCACATTACAATGCACTTCTAAAATATGAAAATTTGACTTGAATTATATTTTATTGTTTTTTTTGATAAATAAATATTTCTTTGAGCTTTAGGTCTGGGTTTTTTTCCTTTATTTAAAATCCGTTTTGTTTTTTTTAGTAATTTATTTAACTATCGATATATACATTATTTACCTATAATTTACGTATGTGTATATTAATTTTGTTACTCCTACTGGCCACTACTTCTAATCTAATACATTTTTAAAATTAGTACAGAAGCATAAATTGTTTTTTATTTTATCTTATTTTTAAAATATTACAATATTTCTATGTGGTATGCTAGAACTTTTCGTACTCGTAATTGACATCATTTGCAAATCTAACTTCACTCATTCTTAATACATAATACAACAATTTTTATTTTCCCATACACCTTACCGAATTTATTTCTATTTGTACATTATACAGAACGCATTTCCAAAAACTATTTACCTTCATAGCAAAATTCACAATTTCAGCGGTCTGCCGACATTCATGTCAAATTTGATGTCACTTAGTATCTTTCGTACAGGTTGTAAATTCGGTTCATTATCTAAACAGGGTGAAATAAAAATAAAACTGCAAAAAAGTCAAACGCCATATTTTTTACATTTTTTTAAATATTTTTTCATTCAATAAAAAAATGTCGGAAATAGCATCAAATTTTAGAATAAGTTTAGATTTGTTCGAATTGGTCACCTTTGGCACGAATTATGGCCTTCAACCGGCCAATGAAACCATCACATGCTGAATGTTGCTCTGTGGTATTTTGCTCATTCCCGGCGATGCGCTTGCATGAGGTGATCGACACTTTGGTATTTATACCCTACACCACAAGGTGTTATGTCTTTGTGCATATGTCTTTGTTCCCATAGTTCCTTTTGATGATCTGCATAGAATCACATTCTGAGCCGATTTATGCATGTCCGTCCGTCCGTCCGTCTGTCCGTCTGTCCATGTATTTTTGTAAACAAAGTACAGGTCGCATTTATTACCCGATCCAGATGAAATTTTGCACAGATCATTTGTTTGGCCTAAGGACGAACCCTATTGGAATTGAGATAATCGGTCAAAATTTAGATATGGCTCCCATATATATCTTCGTCCGATTTGCCTTTTATTGTGCACCAAACGTGTAATATCATCTCGAATTGTATGGAATTTTGCATATACATCCAAATTAGGCCTGAAAATAAGTATGTCAAGTTTGATAGAAATCGGTTCAGATGTAGCTATAGCTCCCAAGTATGTTGTTCATCCGATTTGTTATTTTTGTTCTCCGCAGCCGTAATATGCACTCTGCAACAACAATATTTGGGGAAATATATCCAATACAGCTCAGAAATACATTTGCCAAATTTTATCGAGATCGGTTCAGATTTGGATATAGCTCTCATATATATTTTTATCCGATTTTAAATTATTTGTTCATCAAATGGGCAACACAAGTCCGAATTTAAAGATATAAATGCTTCGGCATTTTTAGCCCTTGAACTTGAAATTATAATTATAATCATAGGGGGTAGGGTATCATAAAGTCGGCCCCGCCTGACTTTAAGAATTTCTTTACTGGTTTTATTATTTATTTATTATTTTCGCGATAATATTCGCCATTTATTCTGACTATCATTTTTATGTTTACAAATTACAGGACAACGAATGTTTTCTCATCGGAGAGAAGCAAATTCTGCAGTTCACCAATTTCGACCAAGCGAAGCAACTCTTTAGCTCTTTTGAGTCTATTTGGAGTTTCAATGGTTTACCCCGAGCTTATTTTTCAATATTTGCCGAATGGAATTTTGCGATATGTTCGGCGCACGAGCCTTTTGCAGACACTGCGACGCGGGTTTTTGTACTATTTCTGCTGATGTTGCTGTTTTCTTTCGTCCACTTCCTTGACCTTGGGATACGCTGCCAGTATCACGGTAAAGAGCGATGGTACGAGACAAAAAAAGGATTTATTCACATTTAAATGCTGGAGTACTCTAACGATAGCCACTTGTGGTTTTCTAGCCAAATATAAAGAAATAACACTATCACGCTTGAATTCCATCACGAATAACTTTTTTTCTGGATAATTCTCACCAAAATGCTTTTGTACGCTTATAAACAATATAATGACCTGTCACTGGAATAATTTTAACGGCTGGCGGACGAGAGGCTGAGAAATTACAGCAGTCTGAATTTGGTTGCAGTTTTTTTATCTCACCCTGTATGTATCAACTGTCTGTCTTCGTACACAATCCGTTTGGATGCGTTAGTCATCCTCTAATTATTTCTTTATTTTAACGACAAACACAAAAACGTAAATATATTTTGATTACATATTTTGAATTCACTTTTAAAGTAATTGCTTCCTTCAGTTCAAACAAACGGGAAATGATTTTGGAGAATGTATTCGAAAATAATCGTATAAAAACACAACCAATACATTTGGCCGATATTCTTATCACTATAGGCGTGTGCTTCCATCATTCCATTAGATTTTAGTGTCATATCATCGTGACGTATCTTTAAAACATATTAAAAACAAACTGATCATCTATTGTATGCTGCAAAAAGTATTCGCCATCCGTAGTCCAAAGACTAAGGTCGTTGTTACAACGAGTTCTAATCAATTGAATTATTATTTTGAGTTATTTAATAAAAACAGAATTTAAATAAAAATCTACATTATAAAGAATTTTCGAAGTGAGTAACAATATGTCTGTTGTGTGATGTCGAACTTTTTTAATAAATAACACTAAGTGAAATTAGCTGTCCTTAAAATTTGTGGATTGCCTTGCATGGTTGCAATTAGGTGAATATAATAATGTTTTCATTAAAAACTACTCAGTAATTTGTAATGGGAGAATGTTCTCTCTCTCTTAGAGAATTTTTTCTCTCTGTCGATTCCCTAAAATACCACCAAGAGCCTTGCAATAATATAATATAGCATAAAAATAATTAAAAACGTCAACATTTGGCAGTTTTTAACTGAAAATAAAAGTAAAACGTAAAAAATACTCGAAATCGGTTCTCATAATGCAATATGAGTACTATACCTAAAAGTAGACAGATTAATCATTGGTAAAGAATTACCAATGATTCTGGGTGTTATCAAAAATCTCTATCAAATTTCAAAATTCCATCCTAAATGTTGCGAATTATATCTCAAAATAATGGTCAAGACAATTTGGAGTCCTTAGAAAAGTTTGGTTTTTTGAGTTACCGACAAAAATTGGTAACTTTGAGACCCAAAATTTTGATATAAACCAGTAAAGAAAGTCTTAAAGTCGGGCGGGCCGACTTTATGATACCCTACACCACTTTGCTAATTTAGTAGAGCTGCGCATAAAATTCGTAAATTCGGACTTGTATTGCCCATTTGGTGCACAATTAATTTGAAATCGGATAAAAATATATGGGAGCTATATCCAAATCGGAACCGATCTCGTTAAAATTTGGCAAAGATATTTCTGAGCTGTATTTGATATATTTCCCTGAATATTGGTGTTACTGAGTGCATATTACGGCTGCGGAGGACAAAAATAACAAATCGGATGAACAATATATATGGGAGCTATAGATATATCTAATTTGGTTGTATGTGCAAAATTCCATACTATTCGGGCTGATATTACACTTTTGGTGCACAATAATAGGGTTCGTCCTTGGGCCAAACGAAAGACGGACTGACATGCATAAATCAACTCAGAAAGTGATTCTATGCAGATTATCAAAAGGAACTATGGGTCTATCCCTAAATTTTCAACAACTAGACTGGCTCTTCTTCGGTTAACTTATAGAAAAATTGCAGTAAATTTTCGAGAATAAAAAAATTTGAGATGTTTTTCCATAGTACATATTGAATATACAAATTTCGTTTGTTCAGAGTCTCACAAAGCATTCCTAAAAACTGAAGTATTAATAGGAATTTTATATAGAATTGAAAGTGTTAAATTAACAGTAACAAACGCAAACACTTATTTAAATTTTTTTACATCAATTTCGAACGCATTTTTTATTAAAACTGTTAAACCTAGATTCATAATTTATTCTAAGACTAATAATGAAATTTTGTGTAGAAACATTCTTCCTTTAGTGCCTTCTGACAAAAATGAAAAGTTATGGTACTTTAAGACATCAAATCGAAAAAAAGGACGTGGACAATTGATGAAGAAAATAAGAAATATTTTCGTGGTAATATTGATGTAAATATTATGTTGATAAACAATGGAAATAGAAATTTAATTTCCTTGGTGACTTAGGGTGAAATATTAAATATTCTCCATTATTTTTTGGATTTGATTTGTACTTCTAAAGTTATGTTTTTTTGGGAGATTTCCGCATAAACTCAAATAAAGTACGCTTTAACCACAAAAGGTGTTTTAAATACAGGGTGAGATGAAAAAACTGCAACCAACATCAGACTGCTGTCATTTCTAAGCCACTCGTACGAAAGCTGTTAAAATTATTCCAGTGACAGCTCATTGTATTGTTTACAAGCGTACAAAAGCATTTTGGTGAGAATTATTTAGAAAAGAGTTATTCGTGATGGAATTCAAGCGTGTGGTTATATATTTTATATTTGGCTGGAAAACCACAAGTGGCTATCGATAGAGCACTCCAGCATTTAAATGTGAATAAATCTTTTGTGTCTCGTACCATCGCTCGTTACCGTGATATTGGTAGCGTAGCAAGACGTCAAGGAAGTGGACGGAAGAAAACAACAACATCAGCAGTAGAATTCAATGGCAAGTAATCTTGTAAATTATCTTGACTTTCGTTTTAAGGGAGTTTTTTTAACAATTTCAAAAAGAGGCTAAAAGGTCCAATTTTGGAGGTCTTTATCCAAAAGTTGCAAAAAAAAATGTAAAAGACCTTGTCCTTTCTATTTAAATTACTATGTGATCTGAACTTTCAAACGCCAAGACACGCGTCTAATATTTTTAGCTCCAGTTTCATCATTTGCTTGATTTTTTCTGTTATTATTTAAAAACAAGTAAGCAAAGGCTACAGTCGTGCGGGGCCGACCGTTGAATACCCTACAACACTATAATAAACGATACAGTTTATGTAGGCGAGAAACTCGAAAGAATTCCACAAGATATTGTGACAAATAATAAAAGAAAAACCATCAGGTTTCGTTCTCTAATTTTCGAATAATAGAAACTTAAACTAATTTGCTCATTTCCAATTTATTAGTAGATGTTGCACTTAAATGGTCTTCCTTGATCAGGAACCAATATTTCCCAAAGACCTATAATCTCTCAAAAGTGGCAGGAGATTAACATTTATTATTGGTTTTTGACTGAAACGCATTTATATGAGATACAGACATTTGACTATATTCTTCAACGAAATCAGCCTTAACGAAATAGTCAGAAGTGCATCTTTCCTGTATTTCTGAATTCTCCAAAAAGTCACTGGAATGAACATTTTCGTATTTTGTCTACAAAAGTTGGCAAACTATTTCAACATTGAATATTTTTGGATGGCCATCAAGAACTGCTTGGCTTTTGCAATGTCCGGTAACTCCCATTCAAATGTGCGTGAGGATCGGGCGATAATTACGACCTGCTGATAATTTGGCAGTTTTTCGGTCCATTTCAACCCCTAAATATATGGCGATCATCTCCAAAAAGAGTAGGCTTCTATTCTGACCCTCATCTTATCCCCATGCAAAATTTCATAAGGATCGGGCCATAAATGCGATCTGTATATGATATCCTGATATCCTAACTACTTAGTTTTGTTAGCTGTAGAAATATTACCAAATGTTTAATTCAAAATGAAAATATGCCAAAAATATGACAAAATTGAAAAAATATGAGAAAATTTTACAAAATCAATATTTTCATCTTTAGAGAGATATTTTTATGCGATTTTTTAGACGTTGTTTCTTTCCTGCCAAGAGGCCATTCTGAATTAATGAGAACTGTCGAAATCAGTTCAGCCGTTCTCGACATATAAGAGATATTTCAAGCATATCTTCTTTGATAGACATATATATCGCACATATTTTGCTATATATCCGATTTGTTGGATGTTAACATCAATGTAAAGGTCAGAAGTAACCTTGTCATATATTCGTGATTTCGCCGGGATTTAAAATATTCGCGGTTCAATGAAAAATGTTGAATTTTTTCAACACAAAAGATATGGTCTATTTTACCCGCTAAATATTATCCGATGACCACCCAAATTGGTAGGCTTATTCCCCGCCCTAAACTCTAGCTACATACAAAATTCCGCGTCGATTGGTCTATAATTGCGACCTGTATAGCTACTGCAAAATCCGATATTTTTTTAGTATTTGGTCCATTTCAACCCCTAAACATTTGGCGATCATCTCCAAAAGAAATAGGGTTCTATTCTGACCCTATCCCCACCTCCATTCTAAATTTCGTGAAGATCGGGCCATAATTGCGACCTGTAGAGTGATTACAAATTAACATGGACAGACGGACAGACGGACAGACGGACGGACGGACATACATAGCTAGATCGACTCAGCTCGGCGAGCTAGGAAGATCCATATATACTTTCCTATATGGGAAACCAATATTTCGAGGTGTTACATAAATTCTGGCCCAATCAAACTTATAATACCCCCAACACATAGTGTTGTAGGGTATAAAAATGGACTTTGTCGTACAGTGTAATTGAACAAATTATTACAAAATGTTGTTCGATAACCAAGAGTCCAATAAAGCAGATTCTATCAAATCGGAAACTCCTACCCTTATATGAGATTTATGTAAAAATGTTGATCTTTTTTGTAGAGATATGACCCAGAGTCGAACTCGATCTAAATTTGACACAAAATAATGCGATGTATTAAGTTTCGACAAAATCGGCAAGACACTTCAACAGTTATCATGAGCACCAGATAAAGGGACGGACATGACTAGATTATAGGGACTAAAATCCTTATTTAGATGTGTCGCCTATGTAACGCTTTAGGCTTATTTCCATATTCGAACTCTTTTAAATTTTTATAAAAAATATTATGACCAAATTGAATACTTCCTTCTAGAGTTGTCGGGTACACTAGGCAGACAGATGGACGAGCTTGACTACATTGACTTCAAATATTCAACCAAGTTGTTCGTCCAGTTTCTTTGGGTAAAAGAATATTAAATATTGACGTTAGTCCTGTTTACACTACACTGTTTTTGCAACTTTTTTGAAGTTAAAAAACCCAATAAACTATCCCCTAAACGCGTTGATACACATAAATCTGGCAACATTATACATGCGTATCTCATCTTATTCGACCTTTGCAAAGAACCATATAAACATGCGTATCTATACAGAAAAATCTAAAAACATATGCATCTCAGAAGTTCAATTGGCGTGATTTGTTCTAAGAAGAAAGAAAGCAATTCAATTTTAAAGACTCGACATTTTTAGGGTAAAAAATTGTAAATAAGACAATTGAAACAAAAAATATTCCTATCAAAACACTTTCAATAGATCTTGCAACAAGTGAATATTTTAAAAAACAAATAAATAGAAGAATGAAAAAAATTTGTAAATTCCAAATTATGGCACCGCACATTCAAAAAGTTGAAAGTAGTTTTGTACTTACGGCACTGTTACATGGGAGTTATAAAAAATGCATATCGAAATGCATGCTAAGTAATGCGAAAGTAATCCATTTAATTTGAAGCTGAAATACCAACATATAAAAAAATTGGAAAAAACATGAATGAAATAGCAACATAGAAAAAATACCTAAATACACTTTCGCCAAAACCTTCTTCATATCAACACAACTCACTCTTATATACCAAGAAAAATTTGATCATTTATGTCCCCAGATTCAATATACCTCATTTTCAATACCAATCATTTTACACAGAATGAAAACGATTATGCTACATTTCAAGGTACTACGTCAAATAATGGTGTTTTTATCTCGTTTACAACAGACAGACGGGCATCAATAAATCGTCGTAGAATTCATTTCCGACGAATATATAAAGGTTCTCCATTCTATGTCTTATTGTCAAATTTTTAGAAGGACAAAAGTGTACAATCCTCTCCTACATTATGCAATGGCTTAAGGTTCGCAAAATTTCGTTTTTATATCTTTCAGATCAAATACCGACATGGCACAAGACAGGATTTTGGTAAAATGTGGAGGCTTTACCTCACAACTTGTAAAATATGTTGGAAATAAAGTCGACGGAGATCCTCTATGGGGTTCACGCTTCGATTTGGAAAATCCAGAGGCCGTGGTTAGAACACATTTGGACTTTCTGGAAAGTAAGCGATTGATTAATTGTTTATATAAACAAAAATGTAGTATTTACAAAATCTATCTATTTTTCAGATGGAGCTCAAATCATTTCATCGAATACATATCAAGCCAGTGTCGAAGGCTATATGAAATATTTGAAACTCGACAGAGAACAAAGTATTCAACTTATACGCAAAAGTGTTAAATTGGCCAAAGAAGCCAGAGAAAGATATCTAGATAATCTCAAAGCCACAAGTGGAGCTTGCAATGAAACCATTTTGGTTATGGGTGCTGTGGGACCCTATGGCGCTGTCTTACATGATGGTTCCGAGTATTCCGGCAATTACACAGATAGAATAACCAAAGAAGAATTACAAAATTTCCATCGCACACGCATAGATGCATTACTGGCCGAAAATGTTGATGGTTTAGCAATTGAAACTATGCCAAGTCAAAAAGAAGCCGAAGCTGTTACAGAAATGCTTCTCAAAGATTATGCGAATGTTAAATTTTGGATATCATTTCAATGTAAAGATGATCAACATTTAGCCCACGGTGAAAAGTTTGCCAACGCTGCTAAAACTGTATGGGATATGGTAAGAAGGCAATATGGTGCCAAAGCGCGTGAATATATTTATGGAATTGGTGTGAATTGTGTTAATCCCAAGGTAAGTACATATATAATTTAAATTTTAATTGATTAATGATATTTTGTCTATAGAAGGCCCTTAAAATTACCTCTATTTGTAGAAATTTTAAACTAATATTCTATCCTATGAGAAAAATCTTTAAGTCTTTAAATAACTTAAGGCCTTCTATAAAATTATGATTCTCTACTGACGCAAGATCTTTTAAAGATCTGCTATAGATATAATTCCTTTAAAAAGACTCATACATTTTTACAATTGATATTTTAATTCCACTCTTCTTCTTTGATTAAAGTTTGTCTCGAATCTCTTCAAATCCTTACACAGTCTACTGGGTAATGAAGATATTCCCCCATTGATGGTCTACAGTAATAGTGGCGAAATATATGACACATCTAAAGGCGAATGGACTGGCCGAGACAATTGTATACCCATGAAAATGTTTGTTCCTGAATGGATACGTTTGGGAGCTTCAATAATTGGCGGGTGCTGTCGTGTATATCCCGAAGATATTTACCAAGTACGGCAATTAATCAATAGCTTTTCGAATTAAGTTCATAATTAAAGAGTACTTTAGCAAATAAAGATTTATACTGAAAACTTGTACAAAAAAGTTTTAAAATAAAAATAAATATTTTTTGGATGCAGATTGCCGGCCTCATGGAATGAGCTACAATTCGTTTACGTTAATGTTGTATTTCTATTTTTTTTATTCAGTTACCTAAGGGATACATTACACTTCAGTGACAACGCATATAATAAATGAATTTATATTTTATTGTTTTTGATCATTTTTATAGTTGTATCAACAAGATTTGGGGTATTAAAAATAACATTGAAATACAAGAAAAAACAAAGAAAAACTATTATGTAGTTTTTTTTTTTTTTAATAAAATTGAAGTTTGGTATATTGTCACCTATATCATGAAAAAGAATTGATACAGATAATAGACAGCGGCGTGAGCAGCTCTTCAAATGCCCTCCCCAGTCATCACCATAAATAAATAGAGATAAGGTGACTGACTGACTGGTAATAAATTATCGAAATCAAAGTTCTTCATAGAACATGCGAAAAATGTTTCTATGAAAAGCAAAATGCAACAGTTCATCTAGTTCTTCGGAAAAACAAACAATCTTATCATCAACATAATTTTCATTATCATAATTATGAACATTTCCTACAAATAAGGAAGATAAAAAGCAAAGTTAGAGTCAGGAACAAAAGACAGACGAATAAGGAGTGATTGATTTGTTTCTTTAGTAGGTGGTTCTTGGGGGTTTGTAATTGGTCCAAAGTATTTATTGGTACTTGGCTAATGTTGGCATTGGTACATAACCGCGATTGTCACGGAATGTAGGCTTGACAAAACCACCAGCCGATCTGAAAGATAAGTGTTACAAAATTATTCCAGTGTTTACATTTATATAATTTTATGTCAATCTTACCTCCAGAACAGGGAACTACCACGCTTCAGCTCGTTTCTGGCTTGCAAATCGTTGAAACAATCCAGCCAGCCAGAATATTGTGGCATAATTGGTGGTTGGCCGGCCATGAGACGAGAGCCCGTAACAGCCATACAGGTGGATACCACATTAAGGGGATATAAAATGCTTGAAAATGCAAACTATACGGCAGAAAAAGAAAGAAAATCCGTTGATACTTAGTTGAGAAATATTCCTAGCCTTTTACCAACCTGTGTAAAACCAGCGGTGTACTGGCGACCCAATTTGTCTTTAACAGCGTATTTGTTAATCAAAAACACCGTGGAGCTAGTCAACACCAAACAAGCCACATCGCACAATAGCTTGGGTACAAGACCCGAAAAGAAGCCCATTATGCCTTCAGATTTATAAATTTCTGCTATAGAACCCAATATCGATTTGTACAAGGTTTCGCGGCCAATAAACTGGGCCATCATGCGCACCGAAATAACATGGAACGGATGGGATACAATAATGCCCGATACACTGAGAACAATGTCCCTCTTCAGGTTGTGTTTGAATTGGAAATATCTGTTGGAGAATATCGATTAAAACTCACATATAAAACCTGACTTGAATAAAACTTGCAGTTCTTCATCACTTAGATTGACATCATCTTTTGGCTCCTCAAGCGGTTTCAATCCCAAGCGATCGGCTATTTTTTCACTCAAGACCATGCTGCAAATTGAACCCACCAATTTGGGAGTCAGGCCACGATAACAACCATAAAAGCCATCAATTTTACGTATATGACCAGCTGAAAACCCAATTACTCATTAAAGGATGACTTCATAGCCCGATAATCGTTTTCTCTATTCCTTACCATATTGAAAGATATTGGGCAACACCATTATTGGTCGTCCCAAGATGGAACGTCCTGGCACGGCAGCAATTGGTTCATAGCCCAATTGTATCAATACCTTGGAATACTCCAGAGGATGTAGAGCAGCACTCACACCCAATCGCATACCAAAACGCATCCATTCTGCGACTTCCTTATTTTGTTGAGGATCTTCATTTTCGACCAAAGAAGGCATTTTGTTCCGTTTATTCACAAACAAAATTCAACAAATTAATAATTCAATCGCACGGAGCCTGGTAGGATTTTGTAATTCTAATGAATTCCTTCTTTAAGGCTGTCGATGGGTGGTTATTATGGAACAACACCGGCGACTAGGGATAGGTAAGTCGACATTCGATTAATCGACTTTGAGCTGTCAAAAAGTCAGGTTATGACAGGGTTGCCGTGACTAGAGTTATTTGATATGACGACATTCAAAAATATTTTAACAGCACTTATTTTTTCTTACTTTAGAATTTAATAGTAGAGAGCATGGTACAATGAAGAGAAGGTAGGTCAACTTTGAAAAAATTGCAAGTATAGAGGTCTACCTGTTTGGCTTGTAATGTCAGAATTACTATCAAAACAATAAAAAAGCAAACAACTTGTTGCATTGATTTTGAATAAATAATTTAAAACCGCGAAAACTGAATGAATGGTCAAAATTTATTTTCAATATCATGTTCTATATATCTCTTATGGTTTATTTCGCGACAAAAACTGTTGTTGTAGCAGTAGTACATGTGTGTGTTTGTGTTCTGCTAATCTGGTTCCAGCTCCAGGTTTAGAAATTCGGCTACTTTAACGGGCTGTAGCCAGAGATCCTCTGGAGTGAGTTGGGTAGGTTTGGCTGAGCAATTAAAAAGGTGTAGCGTATTGTGCGGGCCTGTATCACACGCCGGGCAGGCGTCACGCACATCTTCATCAATTCGTGCCCAATACGAATTGAGGCGACTACACCATCCTGAACGTAATTGCGCCAAAACTACCCTGGTTTGTCTGGGCAGCTGACGTTCTTCGGCTGCAATGGATGGGTGGTGGACTCCGAGGACGGCATTCACTTTATAACTGCTAATAGCATCCGCGACTGCATCGGTGTGAATGCCACTCAGACCTGCCTGATAGGCTTCTTGATCTAGAGGCTCTCTCTTGTAGCGCTGGACCTCCCTCTCTAGATCATGTATGTCCTTCCTGACACGCCTGGGTGGGGGAGAGTTATCCACCATATGATGGTTGGGATGGCTCTCACGGTAACACCCAAGCAGGTACTGCAACGAAAGCATATGATTATGCTGACGTAAGGGAAGGACTTTCGCCTCCTCATGTAGATGGTCCACTGGTGTCATGAGGAGGCACCCTGTCACAGTTCTCAGGGCAGCGTTCTGGCAGGTCTGGATATTCTTCCACTGCGTAGCACTAGTATTCGCAGACCACACTGGAGCCGCATAGTTGACCACAGACCGACCTATCGCGTTATAAGAGGTCAACAAGGTTTCTTTGTCCGCACCCCAAGAGCTGCCGGCTAGCGCCTTGAGGACCTTGTTCCTACTTTTCATCTTGTCGCAGATAGCTGTGGCTTGCGCGGACGACTTGAACATGCTGTCGAACGTTACCCCAAGAATCTTGGGGTAGTTCGTGGTCGGTATTAAATTCCCCTCGACCTGAACATTCAGCTGTGTTCTCATCTCCGCAGACCATGTGGTAAAGAGTGTGGCCGTTGATTTCGTGGCGGATATTTTCATATTCCTCGCGTGGAAGTATGCGGCAAGCTCCGCGAGATAGGGGTTCAACCTTTCGCATATGTCATCGACCACTGGACCCGACGCCATGATCGTACAATCATCCGCATACGTTACGATCTCAATGCCGTCTGGAGGGCGAGGAATTCCGGAAAGGTAGAGGTTAAACAGTTCCGGAGATATCACCCCACCTTGGGGAACTCCCTGTTTCACTCTACGGGCTTTGGACTTCTTGTTCCGGAATTCCACGTACGACTGGCGTCCACACATATAGTTGATTATCCAACGTTTCAAACTTGGCCGGAGGGTAGTTCTCTGTACGTCCTCAAACAGTGTGGCATGATTGACCGTATCAAATGCCTTTGATAGGTCAAGGGCTACCAACACTGTTCTGTCACACGGCCTGTTCTGGTTTAGTCCTCTACTAATATGTGTGGAAATGGCGTGTAATGCTGTTGTGGTACTATGTTGTGGACGGAATCCATGCTGGTGGTTGGCAACTGCATAGCTTCCTCTAATGCTGGGAAGGAGTAAAGCCTCAAGAGTCTTTGCTACTGGCGACAAAAGCGAAATCGGGCTGTACGATTCGCCTTTACTGGCATCCTTGCCTGGCTTCAGTAGCGGGACCACCCGGCCCATTTTCCAGGTTTCAGGCACTATGTGGGTGGCTAGCGACAAATTGAGAACTTTTGTTAAGTACTCGACTCCCGGCGTATCCAGCTGCTTCAACATTACCATTGAGATTTCGTCCGGGCCCAACGCTTTGGATGACTTAGCGATACGGATGACATTCGCAACATCACCCATCGTAAACTGTGGTGGTTCCTCCTCGGCGGGAAGAGATCTGATACGACGTAGTACTCTTCGCTTCGCCCTATCACTCTCGGGGTGCTCGACAAATTGTCGGTTAAAATATTCCGCGCACCTCTTCGGATCAGTCACCGTTACGTCGTTAAAAGTGACTGAGGTCCTATCATCCTTTTTTCCAGGGTTCGAGAGCGACTTAACCGTTACCCACAGCTTACTCATATCGGTTCCAATGTTGCAGCACTTCAGATGGTCTAGCCACTTTTTCCTCTTATGCTCCTGTACCAACCGGTTGACTTCCACTGTCAAATCACTGATTCTAGGATCAGTAGGGTTGGTACGACGGAGATCATCACGCTCGTTTGCTAATCCCGCTGCCTCTGCTGGGAAGTTTGGTCTTATCTCGGGTATTCGACCAGCAGGTATATAGCGAGCGGCTGCAGCTCTGATGATGTTTCGGAAAATCCTTTCTGCTACCCGAACATCAGAAGGGTTGGGCAGTTCTCTGAAGCGGCGGTTGGTGAATTCTCTGAACTCTGGCCAGTGAGCTTTCCCATGGTTAAGGAAAGTGCGGCGTTCAGAGGTTATGAAATCGGGCGACCTGCTTATGGAGACGATTATCGGGAGATGGTCTGAGCCAAGAGAAATGACGGGTTGCCAAGTCACGTCATTTATCAGACCGGGTGACACTATGGTTAAATCTGGCGAACTGTGACCTCTTATTCGGGTGGGGGCATCCTCGTTAACCGTGCAGAATGTGGAGCAGTCAATCTGCTCTGCCAGCGCTGATCCCCTCTGGTCATTACCTAGGACGGAATGCCACAACTCATGGTGGGCATTAAAATCCCCTAGTACCAGGCGGTTATTGCCTACCAATAATGGGCTAATATCAGGCAAATAACGTGGTTCACAGCTATTAATCGGCGGGATATACACATTAAGCACCTCTACCTCGACGACGACGTCTCTGACGAGGACGACGAAGAAGAGGACTCGCTGGGGACTACGTTACTGCAGCAAGTCGCAACATAGTCCCTTTCGCTGTAGTCTCGCAAACGCCTTAATCCGGAACAGTTCTTGAAGTGCACCCACTCTCTGCATCCATTACATCGCACCGAGACAGATCTGTGGTGGATGACGTTCTGACAAACCGAGCAGAACCAAGGTCCGGGGTTTTCCTCAATCCCGGCACGGACCAATAAAATCCGGAGCAAGCATTCCGGGATATGCTGCTCCCAATGCAGAAAAATAAACAAACACAAACATGTACATACTGGGTTGGCAGCCGCTGGCCGAAACTAGAATCTTGTTGTTTCGGGTCAATCCGGTATCGTAGAACCCGCTGCCGTGGGATTGGATTTGTTTGATTTGGATTGGATTTGGATTTGAACTGTAGATTTTGTCGATGCATTCGTTGCAATAAGCATTTTGAAAACACCCGAATTTGAATATTTTCTGAACAATTTTTTATTATTGAAAAGAAGACACACACATAAGCAAATGAAGTTGACATATTAAGCCAGAAAAATAAAAAAATTTAAATCATATGGTAGTTCTGCCCTACCTTGAATTCATTGTACCATGGTAGAGAGTATTTTGAACCATTTTCTTTAAAAAAAGTTAAGCTTTTTGTCCTCTTTTCAATAGGGTTTCCTTTTTAGCATTACGTATTTACCTTTATTCACCCTTAACGTATGCCGTACGCCTTATAAGTACTTGAGGTGTATGTTCAGTGTAAATGTAAACAAAAAATGGGGGGTGGGTGAGAACATGCTTACTACTGAACAGACTGCGCATCAATCACAATGTTTCGTTATTTGTTGGAATTCTCATATATTGGAACAGGATTCCGGTATGTTTAGGAAAAACGCGTGAATAATTATGAAATAAAGTTGATTTCTTTTCACCAGGGGCATTCAAAAAACAATAATCAAGTCCGATCCGAGTTTTGTAGATCTGAAATCGGTGCAGGGATGTTTGGATGTGGCTCTGCAAGTATTTCGACCGGTGAATGAAATACAGACTGTGATATCAAGTAGGTGAGTAGGTAAATTAAAATTTGAATAATTTAACAATGTCTTTCGTTTACAGGACTGATGCCGGAGTCCATGCTCTGCATTCAACTCTACATGTTGATTTACAACGTGCAGATGTTAGTCCTTATGTTGAGGAAACCATAACTGGTGTTTTAAATCGCACATTATATAAACAGGGATTGCCCATTAGGCTGATAAATACCCGTATAGTGCCGGACACATTTCACTGTCGTTACAGTGCTTTGGGCCGCACTTATTTGTATCGCATTGCAGTTGCCAAGAATGGCATAAAGGATTTGGATACCCAAAATAAGCACTTCGAATCATTCATACCCGTGGAGGAATTAGATCGTTGTCATTTTCTGCAGTAAGTTGAAAATGCACATACCCAAAATATCCAATTGCAATGATAAACACGTCTCTGTGAATATGTCTGCCTTATTGTCATACCACTGACGTAGATTGTAGTCATAAATATTGAAACCTTTGCAAAGATCTTCAATCTATATTTTAAAGCTCTTATATTTATAGAATTATTTTCGAAGGGCTTTTATAGAACACCTGCGAATGATCAATGTATGGAAGAGCTCTACAAGGAAAATCTTTAAAGCCTTTAAAACACGTTCAATAAGTATTTTTTATGTGAAATACTTCTAGAATACCATTTATTCCTATAAATAAATTTTTGTGAGAAGGTCTATGGAATGTTTTCTAAAAGAAAACTTTTAGAGGCTATTTTACACCTTGATGATTTTTATAAGGTCGTCCATCCATCGAATATATTTCCTCTTGATTTGTCTATATGTAACTGAATTATTAAAAGATATCTTCTCTTTTGCAGCAAAGCCCCCTTCGATGTCGAACGTATGAGACAGGCATCCCGTATGTTTGTAGGACGACATGATTTTCGCACCTTCAAAAGCCAGGATCGTCAGAAAAGTGCATCACGAGATCATCCTATGTTTACGGTTCGACGGATCGATGAAATCAATATAAAACCTGGTCGATCTGCTTGTACAGGAGTTAATGCCAAATTGGCAGAAGAGTTATATGACTATTGGGATATAGAAGTAAAAGGCAAATCATTCCTCTATAAACAAGTAAGACGTATTGTGGGCTCACTTATAGCATTGGCCACAGATCGTATCAATGAGAAATGTATTTATGAAATGTTAACAATACCCTCGAAGCATAATTGGGATCCTCGGTTACAAATTGCACCAGCGTATGGTTTATATTTGGCGAGAGTGCATTACAATGAGGAGGATTTAAGAGTCAATAATAAATAATATGATAGAAACCTAAAAGTTGAATAAATTAAAACAAAATGAGTTTCCTTGAAGCTTTGCAAGCCAAACGTAACAAACTGAAAAGCTGTGAGACAATTGTGACCACTGCCACGGGAGAGCGTTTTAAAGAAAACACCACTACTCAGGAAAAGAAAAAACTAGAACAAGAAACGAACTCCAATTCCTATGGTTTTGTGATTGATACTAAACCGGACTTCAAACCAGCTTGCATTTTACCAAATCACCTCTATTTGGGTTCTCAAGACTCGGTGACATTGGAAAATATTTTAGAATATAAATTAACACATATTTTAAGTATTGGCATAGAATGTCCTCTAAATGATTTACCAGAGGGCATTAGTAATTTATTTATAAATTGTTTAGATTTACCAGAAACTGAATTAACAAGTGGAGTATGGGACCAGGCATTTGAGTTTATACAAAATGCCATGGTTAAAGATGGTTGTGTTTTGGTCCACTGTAATGCTGGCGTATCGAGGTCAGCTAGTGTTGTCATTGCTTATCTCATGAAATATCGACACATGGATTTTGACATGGCCTACCGATATGTTAAATCGAGACGTGAATGCATACAACCAAATGCAGGATTTCTAAAGCAATTACGTAGTTTTAAGTAACAAAAAAGTTCTATAGTTTTCTATTTACTAACACAGTTAATGTATAAAAGAAATTAAATATTTTTTGCTTGTAAAAAATGTTGAGGTCTATTTGGAAATAAGCTTGCATTAGTTAAGAATTAAAGATCAGCCTAAAAGTATACCTCATGTTTTGAAAAATTATCTACACCAAAGATCACACGAGATAGAAATAGGAAATCAATGATAGATGCTTACAAAGCTTTTAAGGTGTAAGTAAATGTCTAGGCTTGAAGTCATGGCTAGGCATATTTTGTGACATTTCTTAAAAGGATTACAGAGCCGCCTAGGCATGACTTCAAGCTTTTTATGTACTTGCACCCATGGTAGAATTACAAGGTAACCCTTTCAGGCCAGCTGGTATCAATTTGATATGTCAAAAAATTGTTGTAATTTGAATTCGCCTTCATTTACACATAAGAAAATTGTTGCATGATTTCAAACTTTAACATTGTTATTGATAGAAAATCGAGATTTTACGTTTGTATAGATTATGAGGGAAGAAGTGTATATTCAACATATGGTAGGCATAGGTAATATGGAGATTTGAAATTCGTGGATATTTGATATAAGTGAAACAGGGAATCAATTTCATATAGGAGATAAACCGATACATGGAATTTCATCATCTTATTTGTACGGATTTTCAACTATGTTATAGGGATTCAACAGTGAAAGGTGAATGATTCCAAAGCATATTGGATTGGTTTGGGGAACAAAACATTGGCAATTTTTGGGGTGTGATTAAATATTGAGATTTTTTTATTTCAAATTGCTCGAATGTATTAAAGTTATCTATACATAAAAGACTTCCTGTCTGCTATACATTTCATAGCTAAGCAAATAATATGCGTGGACTCACAGTAGACTCAGCCCCCTGTATCTTCTGCAATCTTTGATCCAAATCTTAAGTAAGCCTGAGGAGTAAATATACACTAAAGTACCTTTTAGGTAGCATGTCACTACAGCGAGAAAGCTGATGATGTAGCAAAAAAAAAAGGCTACACCCCAGAACCACGACAAAACCTAATTTTAAAGCATCAAAACTAATTTTCCGGATATTTTCTTGTAAAGAACATTATCGCTGTTGAATATGAAATAAACGTTGCCAACTTTACCAACACTGCATGCTGTGTAAGGATGATGAAGAGATAACAACGATTGGACATCTATTATCGCAAATGTCCTTCGTTGGAGCGCTGGAGACTACTCCATTTCCAGTCTCTGTGATTTTCAAAAATGTTGTATTGAACGTGCTATAATCAAACCAAGGTGCAGCGGCTTCAGCATTACTTTCAATCGATGGTGGAAGTTTTGAATGTTTGCTTTTGTAATAGAAAAAACAACAATTTTGAAAATTTTTAATTCAATATTTTGATTGGAAAAATAATTTGCCCCAAATTTTGTACTTCAAATCAATTCGCCCTGACTACAACTTTGACATATCAAGTTTCCAAAAAAGTTGCTTTGTTGTAATTTTCGCCTATGTTGCTACCTGGTATTTCTACCATGCTTGCACCTTTAGGTTTAGATATAACACATGTTCTCCTAATTTTTAAGGCTGTTTAAGAACTACAATAGTGTTTGTAGTAAAAAAAAAACAAAATTGGCTATGAAAATTTAATCAATAAATAAAATATGTAAAGAATTTGCAACTATAAAATGTTTAACAGAATTTTGAATAAAAATAAACCAAACAAAAAGAAACCCAATACCAAGCCTTATCGTGAAACATTTCTTGGTCGTATCTTCCAAAAGATCCTGGGCAGTGGTATACCCATACAAAAGGCATTGAATGTCGTTCTCTTGGGCTATCTTTGTGGAATCGTTCTAACAGTGTGTTGGTATAAATATTTTTCGGGAAATCATGTAAACACTACCCGGTGGTGCTCTCTTATTATCTTGGGATTCATTATCATATTTTTATCCTACAGCAAGGACGTACGGTAAGTTTTAACGAAGACTTGAGAGAAATTTTAAACAGTTGTATTTTTTCTATACCCTTTACCATAAGATGGCGGAGGATTACTTTTCGTTATTACGTCGAGTCGAAATAAACAACAAGTTCGGCATGAAATTTTAAGTCGATTTAATAATGATTGTCTGCCTACTGAAATCAAGTTGGAGGTTTCAAATTGGATGAATATTAAGAAATGAAATTTAGCATAAGTGTTTGAACTACTCCAAAGATGTTGGACATCGAAAATGGGCTTTATCCAATGGTGACTCTCGTATTGGATATTTCCGTCATTACTTTCAACCAAATCAACTGTAATTTGGGGTATCGTATTCTTATGTCCATACAAATAAGCTATAATTAAGTGGCTTAGCCTACTTTTCATTAAGTGGCTTAGTCTACTTCCCGATTTTCGGAATTTGGTCCCAATTTACAATCAAATTGGTCGAATTTGGTGTAGCTTCACATAATTGTACCTCCTGATTTTGGGTAATATGAAAATCCCGGTCCAGATTTCCAAATAAATCAATTGTATTTTACTTTTCAAGTTCTTAGTGGGTAATTTAATTTCTCACACCCTGATTTTCTATATTTCCAAACTTTTCGTACCAAATTTTAAATCAAATATAATTTGATATATCGAGTCCTTAGTAGGTAGCTTAGCTCCTCTCGAAATATATTTAATTTTTGTCTAGTTTTTGTTATAACCCCATATGGTTTACACCCTGATTTTCGTTATTTAAAAGTTTTGGTCCCCATTTCCAAGCAAATCAGCTGTGATTTGATATTTATGGTTCTCAGAGGGTAGTTTAAAATCTGGCAAAAAAAAAAAAAATATATATTTAATGGCAGGATGAACATTTCATTGGTAGGTATACCTACATGGCTACTTTTGCCATAGCCCCAAATCAGATGTAGTTTTATGTTTCGGGTTCTCAGTGAGTGGCAAGGAGTTACCTCGCGAAATATATCCAATGGAGGTTCCTTTTTTCATATAGCCCCATATACCTCCTGATTTTTATTCTTTTTATATTTTACGGATTCTCGGTGGTTTCTTAGGTCTTCTTAGGTCCATTCTTGCCATACCCTTATATAACTGTAGTCTGATTTGCGGTATTTAGTTTTTCCAACCAATTACTAACCAAATTACTTTTGAGGGTCTCAGTGGGCATTGAGTTTGAAGAGAGAACGCACAAATATGGCGTTCTCGTGTATTTCTCTTATCAGGTGAATTTGTCCGAAAATAAAATAGTAACATGATGGTTGCCAGATTTTGAAATTGGCTGACATTTCAGCCAATTGCCATACAGCTTAGATAGTTTTAATAGTTTTCTGTTTCCGTACTATCTGGGCGAAGCAGTTCTCTTTGAGAGAATCTAACATTTCTCCTTTTTTCAATTAAAAAAGTACGGCAACAAAACAATAATGGTTCTTTCTGATTTTACTTTTTTTTATCGCGGTTGTTTTGCTTGTTTTAGGTGCATTGCATCCCTCTCCATTCCAATTCTGTGCAGTTCCAAAGGTCGTTCCCTAATAATAGCGGTGGCATTTTTTATTGCCGCCACAGGACCCACTGTGAATTTGTTTCGTAATATTGATGTTATGGTCTCAAGTTTGAGTTGTGGCCAGATGCAATTGAAGCATGCACTGGGAGAAATGTTGGATACGCTGAAGAAACCGTTGATTGCCATTAAGGATGCCATACACAATGCCGTCAATGATTTAAGGAAAGTCCTGCGAAAGGTCCAACAAGTTTTGCAGACAATTCAGGCTTTGATTGTGGTAATATGTAAGACTTTCTTGCAGATCTCTGAAATTGGTCCATTATTTTAACCTGTAATATTTTCCAGTGGCCACAATGAAAAATGCATTTGCATGGCTAAGGAACATTGTGCGGATGTGCAATAAAGAATTTGGTACTCCGTATGAACGTTGCATGAAAATTGCCCAGAATGCAATAGAGGATTGTCAAAAGAAATTGGGTCCCATGAGGGCATTGTGTCAAGTCACCCAGCTTTTTGCCATGCTATGTTATGCCACCAAGGTTGTGGATGTCATTTGTGTATTGGTGGTGTTTGTCAATGAATCGATTATAGCGACCGTTATGGAAAGTAAGTTTACACCAGCGGCCGCCAACACACCGCCCATGGGCAATTCACCACACCTTACACTCAATCATAGTTTTGGGAATAACTGTCAACATTGGTCAGTAAACCAGGGGTGCTCAAAACCGTGTTCTAGAACATGAAGAGAAAAAATAGATAATTTAAGAGAAAATTAAAATTCTGTTTTTCTTTATATTTTACGGTTCTTTTTAATTGTTTTTAAACACGAATGTTTGCCAAAATAATTTATAAAGCAAATGGATAAAAAATATTTGTATAAATAATGACTTAACACTGTTTTGTTCATGATTTAAAGAAGCAAAGAGAAATTTGACTGGAAAGAGATATTTTTTCTTGAGCACCACTGCAGTAAACCCATCACCATAACTGTTCGCTTGTTTCGTTTGATTTCATGTTTACTGAGAGAGGAAGAGTTTCTCTCGCGATATTTATGTCACAATCAAGTTTTTGTTTTGATAGTGGTTGGCTAGGTCTGGTTTACACTCAAACTTAAAATCATGAAAATAAATATTTTCCATTTTATTGGTAATTTTCAGAGCTACAACAATTTACTGCAGAAGTTAAAAAACTCTTCGATGTCTCCATAACCTTCGATCATGATTTCTATTTCAAAACCACCACTTCCAGGGAATTGGATGACATTAAAAGGGATATAATGTCGGATATACACAATCGAATGAAAACATTTGTCTTGATATTCGGTTGGTTGGATGTGGTCAGTTTATTTATGTTTGCTGTGATTATATTCAAGTAAGTGTGGAGCTTGAGTTAAAATTTCAATTCAATTTTGAGTATTTCGTTTTAGGGCTATATATTTTCGCTTGAAATATTTACACAATCCTGGCTATCAAAATTCGTATATATCCAAGGAATTTGTTGAAATAGATGAAAACCGTAGAAATATGAATATGGAAACGGCGTTGCCTCTGACTTTCATGGAGAAAATGAAATATCCTTGGGTAAGTTTGATTCAAGGACATGGTATTTACAGGACATTTGTTCAGCTAAGTTCTACATGAAGAGTAAAAATTGAACATTTAAATTGAAATAAGTAAAAAAGCAATATGTTGGGCTGGACCGAACAAATTTGGAAATTTCAAAAAAAAAAAAAATCCGTTTACAATTCTCTAAAAATCTTAAGAATGCAACGCCGTTATATTGGGATCCATACGAAAACGTGGATATGCGTAGGCAATTTTTTAATGCCCATTATAGTATTCAAACACGAACCTTGAAACAATTCCAGTGAATAATAAATAATGGTGAATAGGAAGGTATCGTTAGATGGGGTTAGACCTGTATCTGCATTTGCAAAATTCTGTCATAGACTGTAATACCTATAAGGAACTTAAAATACGAAAATTAAAAAAAATCCAATGAATAATGTCGCTAAAATCATCAAAATGCCGAATGTAGGGAAGTACCGATATATGGGACTATACGAAAACCTGCATAGACAATTTTCTGTCATAGACTGTAATTGCCATTGCGAACTCTCAATACGAAATTTTAAACAACTCCGGTTCGCAAAAATCATCAAAATACCGAATATTAGAAGGTACCGTTATATGAAGGCTATACGAAAACCTGGACCTGCATAGGCAATTTTCTGTCAGAGGCTATAGGCCACAGGCCAATTAGGAGCTTCAAATAGAAAATTTATAACAATTCCGGTGAATAAAAAATCAGCTAAATACCGACTACACGGAGGTACCGTGTATACGAAGACGTGGACCTGCATAGACAATTTTATGTCACGGACTGCAGTATCCATTACTAGGTGCAAATACAAAATTTGAAGCCATTTCGGTGAATACTATCGCTGAGATCACCAAAATACCGTATACAGGGAGGCACCGTTGTATGGGGACTATACGAAAACCTGGACCTGCATAGGCAATTTTCTGTCACAGACAGTAGTACCGATTAGGAACTTTAAATACGAAACTTGAAACAATTCCGGTGAATAATGTCGCTAAAATCATCAGAATAGGGATGTACAGCTATACGGAGGCACCGTTATATGGGGGCCATATGAAAACCTGGACCTGCATAGACAATATTCTGTCACAGGCCGTAGTATCTTCTAGGAACTTCAAATACGAAATTTGAAAGAATTCCGGTGATTAATGTAGATAAAATCAGATAAATACCGAATACAGGGAGGTACCGAAGTATGGGGGCCATACGAAGACGTGGACCTGCTTAGACAATTTTCTGTCACATGTTGTTGTAACCATTATTAAGTGCAAATACAAAATTTGAAACCATTGCTGTGAATTAAATCACCAAAATACCGAATACATCGAGGCACCGTTGTATGGGGGCTATACAAAAACCTGGACCTGCATAGGCAATTTTTTGTCATAGGCTGTAGTACCTATTATGAACTTCAAATACGAAACTTAAAACAATTCCGGTGAATAATGTCGCTAAAATCATCAAAATAAAGATGTACAACTATATGGGTGACATACCTAAACGTGGACCTATTTAGCCCATTTTCAATACCAAAAGCCCTGCAGACCAAACACACATTTAAGTAAAATTTTATTAACCTAATTCAATTCATTCGGAAGCTAAGTGATTTCCATAGTCGGACAGACGGATTAACATCGCTAACCCGACATAGAATTTTATGCTGATCAAGAATAAAAATACTTTGTGGGCTCTAAAATCTATATTTCGAGGGGTTACAAACAGAATGATAAACTTAATATACCCTTCATACTTAAATATTCGGCAGTCTATGAAAATTGAAGTAAGTAAAGTAAGAGATGCTGCCATAGTATAGACCAAGTAAAATCACACAGATTCTCTATTTAGATTTTTCTGTTTGCTGGCACTCAACAAAATTTGTTACTTTCAGTTAACTGACTGCAGGCTTACGCGTCAAGAATGGCTGGCTCTGTCCAGATCGGGTATATTTTTGGCAATTTCAAGTATACAGTTGTTCTGCATATGCTTTGCCGATTACAGTCTCTTTTGGATATTGGCAATGATATCTTATTATGGCCATAAAGAAAGGGGTTTTACAAGTAAGTAAAAACTGGAAAATTGTTCCCTCAAACGAAATACAGAGCATTTTAATTCCATCGCATATACGTCACATGAAAAAAAAATACGTCACGTTAAAAAAATCAGATCCAAAGAAATTATTAAGTTATTTTACTTATATTTTCATAACATTTAGTTCCCCCTTACATAACCGTAGAAATCGATGGCGGTGGTTTCGTTGGCGAGATATTTGGTGGGATAGTTCATGCATTTGAACCAATATCGCAAAATTACACCATAGACCCACATACATGCTTACCACTGCCGCGGCGCCCTAGTTATGCCCATTATTATTTAATTGCTAGCCTAATTTTATTTGGTTGGATATTTCTGTTTTGTCAACCCTATGGTTTACGTCTAAGGCACATTGTAATGCGTCTTTATTATCCGGAGGTGGCAAGGCAACGAGCTATATGGCTATATAATCGAATTCTGCTAAAAAGAAGTAGGTGCAAAAAATTATTTTATTTTTTAAAATATTATTTTTTTCCAATAAACATTTTAGTAAGTTTCTTTAAATTGGCCCGGCGCAAAGCGAGAATAGCCTTTACGAAAAATAAAACTGGCGATAATTTTTCTTTCCTAGATTGGTTGAGAGCCAAAACGGAAGGGTAAATTAATTGCAGCAAGAAATTAAAAAAACGAAATAATTCTTATGTATGTAATTTTCAGATATTGTCTATTTCGTCTTATATTGGGTCAACGAAAATCCGATAAGTGTTTGCTATGTGGCTCACCATTAAATAAGTAAGTTTTTTTACATTAAATATAAATAGTCTTGTGAAAGTGGTATAAATTACGGTAATTTCTAATTAATTTCTCAATATTTATAAATTAAAATCATGCGATTTTTATTATCGTAAAAAGGATGGTAAAATTCAGTAGCTTGATGGCGTAATGTATACAAATGTTCACATACATTGGCACTATTGATTGATTTACTTCCTAGTTTGATTTAATTCTTATATTTTATAATTAACATAGGCATCACTTTTTATAGTCTCCTTTAAGACACCTCACCATTCTTTTGAAAATTCGCGATTATTTCGTCTCTCTCACACAAATGGTCAATTGTCATTTCAAAAGTTCTTTTAATCAGTTAATTGTCACTTAAAATTCTTGTTAGAAGTGTAATTCGCGTAGTCTAAGTTTCATTGAAATTAAACTACAAAATCGATAAATATATCGAGAGAACATTTGAAAATAGTGTAAATTAAAAGTTTTTAAATAGAATAAATGGTTTTAAAGAAAAGCAGGAATAAATACCAAATTTTATTGTTTTAAAAAAGTATGATAATAAAAGAATTAATTGCACCCTCTTTTCTGTTTTGCTATTTTTGTGAGTGTCCGTGCATGTATGTGTGTTTTAGCACTATGTCGAGAGCAAGTGAGCTCAACACATTAATAGGGAGATGTAAAAGAAAAAATACGTTGCATTTTTATTTATTTAATGAAATTGTTGTTCCTTTATGTTTAACGAATATTTTTATTTACTTGTGTGTGCAATTTATTGGAAAAAATATAAAAATTAATTTTTCTTTTCATCTTTAAATGTAAGTAAAATATTATAACATATTCTGTTAAATTTATTGAAACAGATATACATATCTATCATAAGTTCTCTCATATTTGGTTTCTCAATTATATTCTACATATATTCTAATTTATAAAGTTTTTCACTAACATTGGCAGCACTGATTTGTGTTTCCTTTAAGTCATTTGATCATGTCTTATTTTCCTCTTCCTCTGTAAATTCGCGAGAATTTTGTCTCTCTCGCTCACTCATGGTCAATTGTCATTTCAAAAGCTCATCTAATCAGTTAATCGGCACTTAAAATTCTTGTTGGAAGTGTTATTCGCGTCGTCTAAGTTTCATTGAAATTAAGCAATCAAATCACTAAAAACTATCAAGAAAATTAGCAATTCGTGTAAATCGAATGTTTCTTAAATAGAATATATAATTTGTTTTAAAGAAAAGTGCAAATAAATACCATATTTCAATGTTTCAAAAGTGTATGAAGAATTTGATTCAATGTGCCCTCTTAGCTGTTGTTGTTTTATGAGTGTGCGTGCATGTGTTTGTTTTAGGCACTATGGAGAGAGAGCAAGTGGACTGAGCACATTAATAGGGAGATGTAAAGCGGGAAAGGTAAATTTGACGACAACATATTTGCTTTTCCTACGTGAATTCGCGAGATTTTGTCTTCCTTAGTCACTCATGGTCATATGTCAATGCCCCTCCAATCAGTTAATTGGTACATACAATTATTTTTATAAAAGTAATTTGAGTCGTCCTTGAAATTGAAATTTAAATTACAATCATTCAAAATTATCCAAAAAAAGTTTGCAAGTTGTGAAAATTAATTTTTTCTTTAATAAATACTAAAATAAATACCATATTTCATTGTCTTAAAAAAGTATGAAAATAAAAGAATTAAGTGCGCCCTCTTTGCTGTTTTGCTATTTTTGTGAGTGTGCGTGCATGTGTGTGTGTTTTAGCACTATGTAGAGAGCAAGTGAGCTCAACATATTAATAGGGAGATGTAAAAGAAAAAAATACGTTGAATTTTTATTTAATTTATGAAATTGTTGTTCCTTTATACTTAACGAATATTTTTATTTACCTGTGTGTGCAATTTATTGGAAAAAATATATACATTAATTTTTCTTTCCATCTTTAAATGTAAGTAAAATATTGTAACATATTCTGTTAAATTTATTGAAACAGATATACATATCTATCATAAGTTCTCAATTATTAGAATAATTATTTGGTTTCTCAATTATTTTCTACATTATACATATATTCTAATTTATAATGTTTTTTCACTAATATTGGCAGCATTGATTTGCGTTTCCTTTAAGTCATTTGATCATGTCTTATTTTCCTCTTCCTCCATAAATTCGCGAGAATTTCGTCTCTCTCGCTAACTCATGGTCAATTGTCATTTCAAAAGCTTTTCTAATCAGTTAATCGGCATTTAAAATTCTTGTTAGAAGTGTCATTTGCGTCGTCATTGTTTTATTGAAATTTTTGTCTTAAAAGCAGTAAATATTATCAAGAAAATTGTGTAGTCGTTTAAATCAAATGTTTCTTGCAAGGTATATATAAATTGTTTTAAAGAAAAGTGCAAGTAAACACATTATTTCATTGTTTAAAAAGTTTATGAAAATTGGCATATTTGTGCACTTTTTGTTTTGTGTTTTTCTATTTTATGAGTGTGCGTGCATGTGTGTGCTTAAGGCACTATGGAGAGAGCGAGGGTATATACATCGACAAAAGTACGTTTGGTTTTTGATTGCATTTTATAAATATTTGTTTTGCACTTGTGTGCAATTTTGAGATAAGCTGTCAAGAAAATAACGAAGATGTGTAATAATATATATTCAGAGCGATAGTGATGAAAATGCGTATTTTTTGGTTGCTTTATTCGTGTGCATAGGAGATTGAAATAAAATCAAATATAAATATTGCGTCATATTTCAATAGATATTTATGGAATTTGTGGCAATGGTGTAATTTCAATTTTGGCTGTTTTTACAACAAAAAAAAATATTAATAATATATTAATGTTGTTGTAGTTTGTTTTGTCTTACAGTGCATTACAATCTCCACCAAGGCCTGTACTCCACAAAGGGTTTTAAATATTTTAGTTTTTGTAGAATTTTTGGAATATGTATTTCCCCAACAGTTTTTGAAATGTTAGGTTTTCTGTGAAAGAAGACCTTGTATATATATTTTTTTAAAGTAAAAGTTTTTCACTAAAACTTGTCTAGAATGGCTCTATAAAAAAATCTCTGTTGATATTTTCTTTGACGCAAGCAAGTCTTTAGTTTTTTTCACATTTATGAAAAAACTTCTCTGGTTTTGTTAAAGGTGACAATGTGGTTATCTTCATTAATGAAACCTGATTTCTGGTTTTACACATGACCTTACTCAATACAAGACTAAACCTTCTTTAAAACAACTTTAATTCTTCTCAAAACATCTTTCATACATTAATCTAAAAAATCACTATTAAAGAGTACAAAAAATGTTAAATTACGATATTTACGAAAATCGCTTTTGGTTAAAAATATGGTTACTGTTATATATGGGGAATATACTAAACGTTTCTCCAATAGATTTTGTAAACGCTAAAAGCTTATATGTTGTATTTTCCAGCAAATTGTGAAAGTAGTAATCTAAATAGGGGGAAAAAAACAAACCCTCTTCCACATTTATTGAAATTTTCAGATTTAGATTCATTGCAATCGTATTCAGTATATTCGGCAATACTGCAGATTAAAGCTCAACGTTTATAAATTGTAACCGTAAAGCGAGTCACCAATGTTTTTCAGTGGTAGAACAGGTGCGAAAATGCACAATATCGGCCCACTCCATCAAGTACCTCCCCACATAGGGTCAGAAATTTTGAAATAAGCATCCGATTCTCATCAGGCTTCACACATCTCCGATTCTCTTCAAATTTCACATGCCCAAATATTTTTACAAATTAATGATATATATCAGTCCACCCCCTCTGGTGTTAATCAGGGCTGTCATAGAAACCAATTTTGTCACTATTGGTTTTAAAAACGACAAGAAAAAATGCTTTGGTGTCATGAAAATCAATGTTATTGGCTTTATTTTTGAATTATAATTTTATCGGTTTTGATTGTCATAGAAGCCAATGTTATTGGTTTTGTTATTGGAAATAAACCAAGTTGCTTAGAGCTGTCACTTTTCTTTTGCTTTGGATTTTTTAAACAATTTTTAAAGGATATTCAAAGGACTAAAAATTTGGATTTTTTAAAGAATTTTTAAAGGAATATAGACGTGGATTTTTTAAAGAATTTTTAAAGGACTATAGACGTGGATTTTTTAAAGAATTTTTAAAGGACTATAGACGTGGATTTTTTAAAGAATTTTTAAAGGACTATAGACGTGGATTTTTTAAAGAATTTTTAAAGGACTATAGACGTGGATTTTTTAAAGAATTTTTAAAGGACTATAGACGTGAATTTTTTAAAGAATTTTTAAAGGACTATAGACGTGGATTTTTTAAAGAATTTTTAAAGGACTATAGACGTGGATTTTTTAAAGAATTTTTAAAGGACTATAGACGTGGATTTTTTAAAGAATTTTTAAAGGACTATAGACGTGGATTTTTTAAAGAATTTTTAAAGGACTATAGACGTGGATTTTTTAAAGAATTTTTAAAGGACTATAGACGTGGATTTTTTAAAGAATTTTTAAAGGACTATAGACGTGGATTTTTTAAAGAATTTTTAAAGGACTATAGACGTGAATTTTTTAAAGAATTTTTAAAGGACTATAGACGTGGATTTTTTAAAGAATTTTTAAAGGACTATAGACGTGGATTTTTTAAAGAATTTTTAAAGGACTATAGACGTGGATTTTTTAAAGAATTTTTAAAGGACTATAGACGTGGATTTTTTAAAGAATTTTTAAAGGACTATAGACGTGGATTTTTTAAAGAATTTTTAAAGGACTATAGACGTGGATTTTTTAAAGAATTTTTAAAGGACTATAGACGTGGATTTTTTAAAGAATTTTTAAAGGACTATAGACGTGGATTTTTTAAAGAATTTTTAAAGGACTATAGACGTGGATTTTTTAAAGAATTTTTAAAGGACTATTTACGTGGATTTTTTAAAGAATTTTTAAAGGACTATTTACGTGGATTTTTTAAAGAATTTTTAAAGGACTATAGACGTGGATTTTTTAAAGAATTTTTAAAGGACTATAGACGTGGATTTTTTAAAGAATTTTTAAAGGACTATTTACGTGGATTTTTTAAAGAATTTTTAAAGGACTATAGACGTGGATTTTTTAAAGAATGTTCAAAGGACTAAAAATTTGGATTTTTTAAACAATTTTTAAAGGATATTCAAAGGACTAAAAATTTGGATTTTTTAAACAATTTTTAAAGGATATTCAAAGGACTAAAAATGTGAATTTTTTAAACAAATTTTAAAGGATATTAAAAGGACTAAAAATGTGGATTTTTTAAGGAATTTTTAAAGGATATTCAAAGGACTAAATATGTGGATTTTTTAAGGAATTTTTAAAGGATATTCAAAGGACTAAAAATGTGGATTTTTTAAGGAATTTTTAAAGGATATTCAAAGGACTAAAATGTGGATTTTTTAAACAATTTTTAAAGGATATTCAAAGGACCATAAACATAGATTTTTTAAGGAATTTTTAAAGGACTATAAACGTAGATTTTTTTAAGATTTTTTAAAGGACTGTAAACGTGTTTTTTTTAAAAGAATTTTTAAAGGATATTAAAAGGACCATAAACGTGGATTTTTTTAAACAATTTTTAAAGGATATTAAAAGGACCATAAACGTGGATTTTTTTAAGGACTATAAACGTGGATTTTTAAAGATTTTTAAAGGATATTTAAAGGACCATAAACGTGGATTTTTTAAAGGATATTTAAAGGACCATAAACGTGGATTTTTTAAAGGACTATAAACGTGGATTTTTACAGATTTTTAAAGGATATTTAAAGGACCATAAACGTAGATTTTTTAAAGGACTATAAACGTGGATTTTTAAAGATTTTTAAAGGATATTTAAAGGACCATAAACGTGGATTTTTTAAAGGATATTTAAAGGACCATAAACGTGGATTTTTTAAAGGATATTTAAAGGGCCATAAACGTAGATTTTTTAAAGGATATTTAAAGGACCATATACGTGGATTTTTTAAGGATTTTTTAAATAATTTTTAAAGGATCATAAACCATAAATCTGCAAAGCAGCTTTATGATTAAGTTCACAATAAAAAATTATTTACGCTATCTCCGGCAAACTTTTTTTTCTTTCGGGAGCTCTACTATATACGCATAGTGGTGTAGCCCCGCCGACTTTTGACCTATCCTTATAGGTTTTTTTCAATTAGGGGGAAGGGGTTGTAACTTTCTTTTTTGAAATTTTAACTTTTTTGAAATTTTCGGATTTTGATTCCTTGGAATTTGGAATTGTTTGTCTTCTGCAATACTGCAGGTAAAAGCACGACGTTTATAAATTTTAGTATCCTTTGTTCTCTTTAGCAAATATATTACCTAAAATCTACGTTGCTGTTAAAAAGTCCTCGTTATTTTGCCTGTTGTTGTTTAACAAATATTTCCTCTCATTCCAGAGAGTCCCTAGTCAAATGCGAAACAATTGGCTGTAATGCGATGTATTGTAAAAATTGCTTTCAAGAATCGAAAAATATTTGTTGCATTTGCCACAAGCCGGTTGATTATGGCGATTTTAGTGATTTATCGGAGGTCGAGTAAGTCTTGGAAAATATTTCGAAAAATTATCCATAATTCTTCTTTTTAATATTTAAGAGATTCTTCAGATGATCCAAATGTAATACATTTTGATGAAACTGACGATGAGTGTTTAATTAGGAAATGGAATGAATATATTGATTGAATATTGATGTGAGTTCTTTGTACGATATTGTTATGTTGTTTGCATGTATTTTGAATTAGTTGAAATTTTATAAAAATGAAGAAATCCTTTTTTAAGGCAATATTAAGAGATTTTTTTTTTTGCCAAAAAGAATATGGTTTTAAAAATATTTGAGAACACGCCTAAGGTTATAATAATTCGAAGAATTACTATTAAATTTAATGAACAAGTGTTGGGATTTCTTGGAAGGACTAAAAATACGCCATACCTCCCTATTCACTTTAATGGTAAGCCTAAGAATTATTTTGTCTTGGCGTTGCCCTCAAATAATTTTAGGACAATATTTTGTAATTTGTAAATTCTGAAAATCCACGAAGAGTCACGTTTGATTTTTGGAATTATTCAATAAACCAATGCCATTATTTTTAAAATATTATCTCACTTTTCATTAAATGGATGCCATATGTGTAAATTTGTGAGAAATCAATATCAACCTCAATCATTAACACAAAAATGCCATTCCGGCAATATGTGAGAAATTCCCAATTTTAAAACCAAAACAATTAAATTTGTCCCTGTCAAAAGCAAATCCTTTGCTGTGATCGCATATCAATGGCTGCATTGGCTAATCGTTGTCCAAATGAAATGAACCAATTTAATGCAATTACAAATGATAGCATCATCGAACGAATGCTAAACAAAGTGCGGATCAAAAACAGCTGTCATTGGCACGTTTTTCTTGCAGTCTTCCCTTCCCACAACAACTCTAAATATAAAAATCTCTAAACATTTTTAAACGGAAATGCAAAGTGTTATAATTGAAACAAAAGCAGTAGCAATAGCAACAAATTTATCCTCATCAGCACCAGCAGCGATACAATGACTCAATACATCCGACATCAGCCAAACAAACAACAGTTAACACGTTAGCAGGGTCTGTTTGTCAAGCAAACAATTCCGGCAGCAAATGTTAGCTGAAACAATGCAGCTGATCTGGCAAAGGGATGTATCAAATGCCACAGAATCCAAATAGTTTTGAGTTTCAGTTGTTGCAATCAACAGCAGCACAGAGTGTGATTTCTAAGCAAAGGACAGTGGTTTTGGCATAAAGAAAATTAACAATTTTAAAAAATTATTTTAAAGTACCATCAAGGCTTAAAGTACTTGGATTTTATAGCATATTCTTTCAAGGATATTCAAGGCTATAAACATGGTTTTTAAGTATCTTTTTCAGAGAAAACAAAGTGCACTAAACGTGCATTTTTTGGCAAGCCTATGAAAGACGATTTTTCAATATTTGTCAAGGTCCATCAAGGCTATAAACGAGGATTTTTTTTAGATTTTTTTCAAAAGCCACTAAACGAGGATTTTCCAAGGACCAAGAATCAGTGACCTGTATTTTTAAAGAATTATTAGAGGAAATAAACGTGGATTTTTAAATTAGGGTCTTTAAAAGACCTTAAAGGAATGGATGGATTTTTAAAACCGTCCTTAAAGGAAACAAACGTGGATTTTTAAAGGACCTTAAAAGACCTTAAGGGATTTTTAAAGACCTTAATGGAAATAAACTTGAATTTGCGAATTCTCCTAGGACCTTAAAGGAACTAAACGTGGATTTTTAAAGAACCTCTTTCAAGGATTCCAGGCCTATAAACGTGGCATTTTAAAGAACCTCTTTCAAGGATTCCAGGCCTATAAACGTGGCATTTTAAAGAATATTTTTTAAGGATTGCAGGCCTATAAATAATATTTTGTCAAGGAGTTCCAGTCCTACGAATAATATTTTTTTAGAATCCAGGCAATCGTGAAATTTTCAATAATGTTTTTTTAAGGATTCCAAGCCTATAAATAATATTTATTTCAAGGACTCCAGGCCTATAAACGAGGAATTTTAAAAAATATTTTTTCCAGGACAATCCTGGCCACTTAAAATTGACGTTTAAAGTTATTATTCAAGGATAATCCCGACCACTAAACGTGGATTTTTAAGAATATTTTGTCAAGGATTCCAGGTCCATAAACGTTGATTTTTATACCCTCCACCATACTATGGAGGGTATATTAATTTTGTCATTCCGTTTGTAACTCCTCGAAATACTCATATCAGACCCAACAAAGTATGTATATTCTTGATCAGCGTAAAATTCTAAGTCGATTTAGCGATGTCCGTCTGTCTGTCTGTCTGTCTGTTGTAATCACGCTATCTTTCGAATGAATTGAGATAGGTGGCTAAAATTTTGCACACATGTTTATTTTTCCAGTAGGCAGGTTAAGTTCGTAAATGGGCCATGTAGGTCCACATTTTCATATAGCCCCCATATAACGGTACCTCCCTATATTCGGTATTTTGATGATTTTAGCGACATTATTCACCGGAATTGTTTTAAAATTGGTATTTGAAGTTCGTTATGGGAACTACAGTCTGTGACAGAAAATTGTCTGTGCGGGTCCAGGTCTTCGTATAGCCCCCATATAACGGTACCTCCCGATATTCGGTATTTTGATGATTTTAGCGACATTATTCACCGGAATTGTTTTAAAATTGGTATTTGAAGTTCGTTATGGGAACTACAGTCTGTGACAGAAAATTGTCTGTGCGGGTCCAGGTCTTCGTATAGCCCCCATATAACGGTACCTCCCTATATTCGGTATTTTGATGATTTTAGCTACATTATTCACCGTTTATTTCAAGTTTCGAATTTGAATATGGTAATGGCTTATGACAAACAATGCCTATGTATGTCCACGTCGTATAGACCCCAAAATAACGGCTATATTCGGTATTTTTAAAATTTTAACAGAATTTTTTAAGGATTTTATTTTTTGAAAATTTCCAAATTCGTTGCAAATGGTGGAGGGTATTAAAAGTTCGGCCCGGCCGAACTTACTGCTTTTTAACTTGTTTAAGTATATTTTTTGTATATTAGGGCTGGAATCCCCTATAAATCTGGAATTTTGAAGAATATTTTTTCAAGGAAAATCCAATCCACCTAACGTTGATGTGCAGGCTACCAAACGTGGATTTTTAAAGAATATTTTCCAAGGACCTTCTGTGGACTGTCGAGGCTATAGACGAAGATATTTAAGAATATTTTTCAGGGACTATCCATGGATATAAAGGGGCATTTTTACGGATGTCATTTTCAAGGACCATCAAAAAATATTAATTGTGAGATTTTAAGATCATTTTTCCAAGGACCGAATATTTTCCATGGATTTTAAAGGATATTTTCCAGGGACTATCCAAGGATATAAACGTGGGTTTTGTAAGGATATTTTTTCAAGGACCATTAAGAGTGCTTTTTAAATATATATTTTTGTAAACCACTTTAGGTATAAACGGAGATTTTACGGATATTCTTCAAGGACCATTCAAGGCTAAACACTGGGGATTGTTGAACATATTTTTTCAAGGACCATCGAGTCTATTAATGAGGAATTATTAAGGATATATTTTCAAGGACGTTTATAGAATTGAATGGCCCTTGAAAAATAACCTTTAAAATTCTTGCTGATCCTATATTCAAAAATTTTTTTAGGATATTTTTTGAATGGACATCCAAGGTTATAAACGTGGATATTTTTTTGATATCATCTAAGACTAGATCGAGAAGGGAATTTTTGAAGAATTTTTTTTAAGGGCTATCAAGACGATAAATGATGATTTTTAAATATATGTTTTCAAGGACCGTCCAAAGCTATAAGCATGGATTTTTAAAAATATTTTTAAAGGATTTTTAAAAGCATTTTTTAATGACAAGTGAGTTTTTTTGGGAATATTTTTCAAATGCGGTCAAGGTCAAACTTCATTTTTTAAGAAAATATCAAATCCTTTAAACTTTTTTTCTAAAAAGGTACCATCAAAGCTAGAAAAACGTATATTTAAAAACATTTCTTGTTTAAATATATCTTAAATAAAGTTTTTCCCTAACAAATACATTAGAGATTATCTCTCCGATAACCACTGTGCCCCTCCTTTTGAGGTCATTATGTAGGAGTTGATGTAATACAAGAGCAACCACCTTCCTGTTAATGATGACGATGATGCAACCATTGAGGAGGAGGTTGACTGTCTGTCCGTCTGTTTGTTTTTCTGCACTCGCCTGTTGTGAGTGGCCTAATGCAACAACGGTCCCGACAAGTAGCAGCTGCATTTGTTTTGTAATGAAATTGAAATTCTTTCAAAAGAATTCATTGCCTCCTCCATGAATAAATGAATGAATGAAAGAACGTCTGACTAACTGCCTGACCAAATAAATGCGAACGGCAAATGGATGGTTTAACTGATTGTTGACCGTTGCTGTTGTTGTTTTTTTCAGCACAACAAAAAAAATCTGCAAAGCATCTCATCTTACAGAGGCACTTGTTTACATTTGTGTTGTTGTTTAGTTAGTGTTGTTAAATGGCAGAATTGGTAACTTAATCACTGCTTAAATGCCCGTTGTTCACCCTGCCTCTGGATAGCGAATTGGTGGGAGGGACGAACATATGCACAAATATTAATTGAATTTGTGGCAGATTTTAAAGAGAGTTTAAATTTATATTATATGACCAATAGATCTATAATCGTGGACTTTGATAGACCAACTGATGCTTAGAAGTAATTCCTAACAACCCCAGGTTTATAGCCCCGACGACTTTTGAAAAAATCTGAAATAAAACCTTTATAGCCTTGGTGATTCGTGAAAAATATTCTATATTATTTAAAAATCCTAGTTTTTTTCTCTATTAACCCATCGGTAAAAAATATTTGTTAAAAATATTGTAGAAATAATATTAATATGTTTTTGTCAGCATTGATCGTCCTCAAAAATATTTTAAAACCAGTAAAGAAAGTTCTAAAGCCGGGCGGGGCCGATTTGATGATACCCTACACCACTGTGCTTATTTTAATTGAGTTCCACATAACAATTAAAAGTTTTTATGGGAGAATTCAATCATACACACTATGATTATAATTATAATTAAAAATTCAAAGGACTAAATATGCCGAAGCATCTGTATCTTTTCAATTCGGACTTGTATTGCCCATTTGGTGCAAAATGAATTTGAAATCAGATAAAGATATATATGGGAGCTATATCCAAACCGATCTC